TTCAGCGCCCAAATTGATCAGCGTGGACACGTCGGAGCAGGAACACTTGCATGCATCTTTAACTCACACCTGTACATGACCTCGTACACGCATGAACACGACGTAATTGAGTTGAACCTTGTGTTTCGGTCGAGATCCATACCAACGATTCAACAGCGGATGGCCTCGACGTACACACTCATCTAAACGAGGTCCGTCGACACTTGATGATGTCAACCTGGAACACGTTTTAACCAACCTTGAATCTGTATTCATCAAACTTCTCAAAAAACGTGTTTGGAATACCTTCTACAATTACTTCACTTCAAAGAACTAATCTGTTCCCAGATCCTACCCATCGTTTTCGAACAACATCGAAGTTCAGTGACGTGGCAGAACGTTTTAATTGACAAACGAGGACTGCATCAACAACTGGAGGGGATTCAGCACCCCCAAGACTATATCGTTCAAGCTTTTGATCCTTTAACCCACGCCAACTCTTATTGGTTCGTTCATTCTTTAGTGAAAACGGACTCGGCTTTCGGCTGAGACCGTAAGAACCTCGCCACACGAGATCCTGTTTAATTCTAGTTTGAGGAGGCGCTGAATCATACGTGTTTTGATCGCGTGGCGGTTTGGTGGAGGACGTTGACGGGCCAAACAGGGGGGGATTCGACATTTCGCGCTTGGGTTTTGGCACCTGCGTAGCAGTAAACCTTGACACATCCCAATGGAAACCACCCAGGTGAACTGAAATTCCCCCGAGGGAGCATACAAGGCTTCGTGAAGGACCCACGAAAATCGATAGATTGTTTATGTGAAATAATGAGCATGCTACAGGCTTGAGATTTCGGAGATCTCAACTATCTGCCCCTGCGATCGTCAGTGGCGTGCATTTGACTTTAGTTGTTGGTCGAATCAGTGACATCGATTGTCAAGCGAATTTTGCTACACGACTGTAAATAAACCGAGATTGGGAGATTTTAAGCTCGCGCTACACGCGAACGTTTGTTTACAAGCCACGTTCTGACCAATCAGTAGGCCCTGCGGTTTTTCATCTACTGAAACGATAAAAGCTCGTATGAACAAGCGCAGTCGATACTGGGATGATCACCTTAACAACCACGGCGTTAGGCAAGACGTGCAACCTGTAGCGTGAAGACCTTGACTTTCGGCTTTGTTTATGCTGTCTGACCAATCGAGTTTCGAGTCGATGTGCAAGCAAATGATTGGCTGCTTTGCAGTCAGATTTCGTGAAAACAAGCACGTTTGACAAGTATTTCAGTTGCCTTCTAATGACTCATGAAGTTAAGTAGTTTTCAGCCCATTCGTGGTTTATTTGTTTAAAAACGACTCATATCCCGAGTTGCACTTTTCTGCGTTCATAAAAGATGAGTATTCGTGTTTTACTTCTTGGTTAAGTCAATTTACTACTAGCTTGGCGTCTGCTTCAAGTGATCCCAGAAGACACTGTTTAGTTCCGTCGTCAATCCAACCGAATTCTTGGGTCGATGTTGAAGGTGTCGGTCATCGTCGACATCATGATATCTTGTTTATTCACTAACCCACCTAGACGGTGGGGGTGGCATTTATTCAGGCAACAGGTTACACAAAAACCAATCGATCAGTGTCCTCACGTGTCCTTCCGACAATAACACCGAAGTGTAAAATGTGAGTGGTTGTGGGTGCCAGCAACAATTTAACCAATCAAAACTGGAGAAATGAAAATGACCTTAACTTCAACCAATCAAGTCAAACTGGGGAAAGTGGATTCTGTGCGGTGTATTCAGTTGAAGTACGACGTATTTAAAAATCAACGAATGAATGAAAGACAATGGCCATTGGCTATTGTGGTGCGTCATCGAATTCTGACCTAAATGCGCATTGCAGAGTCACCGCCATTGGATATTGCTTGTGAATGGTGGACGGAATGGTAAATTTAAACAAGACCTAAATCTACACCTGTTCTACATGCTGCTGCTGGTTGAATTGGCCTGGAAAGTGCAATGATGAGGTCGTTGGAGAGAAGGTGACTGGGCCATCCAAGCTGCAACACGTTTTCAACGAAACTTTCGTGTTTCAGAGCGATCCAGCCGTGCTAGAAGTGATTTCGGTTTGACAATTTTTCACAGTAACCTTCAACTGGCTCAATCACGGCTGCTTCCTGCTTCCTCTGAAAGAAATCATGAAAGTCCGTTCGATTTTGCAGGCAAACAGAATGCAGACCAACCGCTTCCGATTCATTCGCTATGGCTGCCGCACTCTTCCACATCTTGAGCAAAGAGAACATTCCCTTCTAACAGTCAGGTGTCGCGTCGCTGGCTGTTTCCTTCCCAATCAATACCTCTGCACTTTTACAGGTTGAGGTCTGAGTTGAGCAACCTAGATCTTACTCAACATTAAATTTGCAGATCAGCCTTTAGAGTTAGCTTTAGATTGATAACTTCACACTATATACCCCAAATTATTCTCCCCAGCTATGGTCTTGTAGATTTTGCATTTCAGCTACCGAGAAATCGACCTCTTTTTCAGTGTGGACTAGTGAAATCAGCAGAGAATCGTAGTGAACATTAAGTGTTTACTGCGTATAAAGAGAGACGCAATTAAAGTTATTGTCTGGTGACCCAGCGACACGTGACCTCATTTTATGCTTCACTGTCCAATCAGTAAACACTCCTTGCACCAGGTTAAAAGAGACATTGGCGTGACGCGTTCAGTTGTCATCGATTTTCTGCAAGGCCGGACATCTAATTGGCTGGTGTGTCATGTTTTAATGAAATCCAAAAGCACAATCATTTCTGGCGGTTCTGGCATCGAAATTTGCTTGAGAGTAAGTCCGTGAAAATATTCGTGCATCGTAATTACTTTCTTCAAATACATCATGCGAACACTCGTCGACGCAGCACACAATGTTATGATCTGACCTCAGGATTTGCACTTTTATTGACTCATCAGCCACAGGGACCCGTTGACATCAAGAAACTTGCATGAGACCATCAAATGTCTCCCGAGTTCTTAGGGTTTTAAAAGTAAAAGTTACTTGGTGTTAACTCATGACGTTTATTCGCGAGATTAGCCAAAGGTCCCAAAACATCATTCACGAAATACTCACTACTTATTTGCATTACAGTACACCTTTTTTTTCGACATTTTGAAATCAAGAAACATCGGTTCAAGAATTACAACAAGCCTAAATACTAAAATTTTAACCTACTTGTATAAAAATATGCAGCAATAATTTCATGCGATGCCATCCACGCTGCAGGTATCACCTCAAACAGTGTGCCAACTAGAAAGACACCGAGGCCTTATCAGATGCAGTTCTATGGAAAATATTTATGGATTCAATAAATAGGAATGACACAGCGACTGCCTTAGGATATCGCAACTGGCATTCGTGAGTAAAACACCCCAAACTTTATTGCACAAATTTAAAAACACGGATGGAGTTCGAAGAGAGCTGTCCCAGTACATCCTCTCTTCCATGTAGATTCCCCGAGCTGCAATAAGGCGAAGGCAGGTACTACAAGACATACCTAGCTTGTGTGGCGTCGGATTGGGGCGCAGACATGTTGGACCACCTGGCCTCAGCCAATCCCGTGTCTCTCTGCGATCCAATGGCATGCGGGAAAGGAAGGCAGCCAACCAGAGAAGGACATGGATGAGATGCTGTATATAATGAGCGGCGTGGCCAGCGAGGGGACTCGGATGGAAGGCGCCTGACGTGTGGCTCTGGCTTCTGATTGGTCAGTAAAGCCTGTTCTGTTGTACCGGTCTTTTACCTATTAGGGCTCGGGTATTCTACACTTGGATGCACCAGATTAGTATCATCAGACGGCTACTGTTAAACTGAGGTCCTCTGAATGGCTGCACCGTCCATTTATTTTGCCGCTCATTCGTCATTGTCTCCGATTGGCTGCTGGATTAAGTTGTGGGCCAATAGAGAACACGTCGATAGAAAATTGGCTGATTTCATGGCGCAATCCACTTACAACAAGATTTAGTGCCTCGCAGATTAAACGTTTTATTTTTCGACGAAAATATTACAAAACATTCAGCTTATTGCAGTCTAGTAAGTATTGTTTGTTCAATTTATGGGCTTAGTAACCGCGCACTCAAAATAACTTGATGATTACAACACCAATTGGAAACAGCGATTTCGAAGACTGATACTGGGTAAATTTGGCCTTCGGCAACCACTGTCCAGCAAAGCCTCAATGGAATCCACGTTTGGCCTTATCATCGCATCTTCAACGCCAATAATAATAATCACCATCATCCACAAGTCCGCAAACCCCTCAACCCGTTTCACTCCTAATGAACTACACCCAAATTACAGAGTTTAGCATAATCGATGATCTGGTAAAAACTCCAGGCACATCAAACACAGCTAATTGTCTCAATTAAAAATCAATAATTAGAAGTAACACACATCTGATTGGCAGCTGTTGGATGCAACACAATGAAAATCCATAAAGACTGCACTACATTGCATTGTCTTCCCTGTTCCTGTCCCTAGGCGTACTGCGATACGGACTTTCATCTTGATGTGCTGATATCCTCAAGTTCTCACAGTAAGACGCGTCTACTTCCTTCAGACCGCCCTACTCATGGCACAACAATGATGGCTTCCGGTTCTGCATATACCGGAAATGGACAGTTTGGCTAGCTTGTCGTACAATTTCGACTCTATTCACCAGAGAAGAGAGAGCCTACGACCCGAAGGCATTCCAGTGAAATCTCATCCGAGCTTTTCACCACGCAACGCTCAACAATGAAATCTGAGGGCCACCAGAACAAACCATAACCACAGGCTTCAAAGTAGGCATCATTTCGGCAATTGTCAAGAAGCCCTTCGTATCGAATTTTACACAAATAAGACAGTAAACGATTCCCACGATTATCCGCACACGGAATAAAGAGAGGCTTGAGAGGAACGCATCAGGAGAGAGGGGGAGAAAAAAAGCAGTCGGTGGTAGTATTATGCTAGTGTGGAGTGGAGGAGGCAGAGCGCGGAGAGGTCAAAAGAGGATCTGGTCCGCTTCGTCGTCGACAAGGAGGTTCCGAACTTCGTGCTGGGCCACAACGGCGGAGGAGTCTAGTGCGGTCCTCCTCAACTCCTCCTCGTGCTCCGCTTTGAGGCGCTTCTTCCGATCCTGCACCTTTTTCAGTCTAAAAGGCCAAGAAGGGAGATTCCGTGGTTGAACACAACTCATTGGAACCCGAATGACGGTCAGACGCAAATTCTACACCGCACTCATAGCAGAATTCCCACACTACTTCGAAAAGATTACACCTCAAGCCATAATTCAGGCAACACGAGATTTGGTGATCTCGTAGAAGTCCAGGTCAATTGGGATGCTCAGAAAATAGAGTTTATTCACACTCCTTAATCCGGTTGCAACAGCCTCCGACACGGGGTTCCCCTTTTCGCAGTATGTCGCCAGCAGCGCGGATCCTCAACTCCTCCCTCATTCACACGGATATTTATCTTGGATTATCCTCACGTCTAGGTCTCGATGTTAGCGCATCTGAGGCAAAAATAATCACACGCGCAGACCCCACACACAACCACGGCTTCATCAAGTTCTCGAATAAACGGTTGATTCTCTGACCTTCCACCGACTTCGGCCTTGTTGGGTAGTTAGTGGTATGTGGCGTCTCAACACACCTCTAATGGTTGGTTTTGTCCGCGAAAAGGGCTTTTACGAGGGCAAATGCCAAATTTTTGTGATAAAATGCCTCGATTGTAACACCTAGCAACGTGACCGCTTTGGCCAGCACCTTCCACGCATGCACACACACTGGACGTACCTGAAGAACTCTTCTCGTTCACGCTCATCCAACTCCTGGACAATATGCATAATTGTCCTTTCGAATCGAGGAATGATAACTATCGGAAGGAAATGAGGAGAGAGATAAAACAAAAGCTCAGGGAACAGGGAAATTCAACGTGGCACTATTCTATTGGTTATATGCATGCATGGAGTCATAAATACGCAGTGACAATCTTACTTAAAATGTTCCAAGGGCTACTAGGCCCACACAAGACAAAGAGACAATCGTTTGTGGATTTTCGACTCACCGTGTTCGATGGCGTTAACACGGCGATTAGTGACCTTGATCACCTTATCCAAGGTGACGAATGAGGTTTGTAGAGAAGCCAATTCGACCAATAGCTTTACCGCTTTTCCGTAGGCCTTCTTGAGCTTGTCAATTTGCTGACCACCTCCTGACAAGCCCGTCAACTCGTAATCTAGGAGGAAAAAGCATAATTTATTGAATTGTTACAGAACGAAAAGGACGTGGTCCTGCTTTAGCCAATCGTCAGGTATAATAAACTACTACAAACAGCGAAATTATTCTACCTGTTCGAGAGTAAAGGATAGAGATTGCGGAAACGATGCTCTTAAAATATCGATTCCATGGCTAAATCAGCAAAGGATATTAAATTTCCGTGAGAGAAAAATCCCTGATTAAATACAAAGCGGCATCAGCCAAATAAATATCTCTGCTTTATCGAGCGTTGCATTTTGCCAGCCGTTCAAACAAGTGTAAATATCTAAAACCGAAATTGCAGAAACTCCGCAAAGTAAAAGATGGAGTAGGGTGAGTTTAGAATAGACTATCAAGAGGACAATGAAAAGAGAAACTCGTACTTACTATCAGACCCTTCAGTGAATGTTTCGAATTGAGGCAGATTAACCCCGGCCACATTTTCTTTGGTTATTTTAACTTTGACTTGGGCCTTAGTCACGTTCTGCATTACGAGTTGGTTTACGTGTGCCGTGGACGCGAATTTCACTGCGGCCAAAGAGAAGTTGGCTTCACGTATAACCTCGCCCATCGACTGCTTTGCCTAAATACAGGAAACCGACTTTTTTTTTAATTTGTGGTGTTTCACATTAATCACAAAATATGCATCCATGCAAAGCTACAGAGATGAATAATATCAGTGGTTAAGTACATACGTTTGAAAGTGGTATATTTCATTAAACCTGAGTAAAGCTATGTTTAAACACTACCCACACTGTTAGTGGGACAAAGATTAGGCTGATGAAACACAGAATCAAATATTGCAATTAGGAATAGTAATGAAAGCATTATATCACACAAAAAACCGGCTTACGTCAATGATTTTGTTTAAAATGCTACGAAAACGAATAGTTAAGGCATCGGATTTCTTTTTGAGAAGACTGTGGCCAAGCTGAGCCCCCTGTAAATGTGCCTTCATGGTGGCTTGAGCCCTGAAACGAAGGCAATATGAGAACAAGTTATTTAAAGTGGAAATATATCTATGCGAGCAGCAACATGTAAACAAGCATTCAAAGATAGGTTGTCTAAAATAAAATTAGTGCACAAACATACATTCTGGAGGGAAATACGTTTATTATGTCCCCCGACATCACCGATAAGAGAATTCGCCGCAAGAAAGACAAAAAGTTTAAAAAGCGCGGATTTTCCTCAGAGCAAGGAAACGCAGATAAAAGTACATTCAATCTGGTCAGCCATAGAGAAATGATGCTACTATAAAAAGTCATTGTTCTTAGTTAGTCCCATAGTGTTTTTGCTTTAAGTAAATAGAATATTTTTAGTTAGGTGTCATTATCACTTTAAAAGGTAAAGAAAAATTAAGCCAAACAAGATCAAGTGAAGTGGAGAAATCGAAGTGCCTAAAATGTTAGACTGAAAAGCTTTAATTAGGGAACAAATTCAGCTACTATAAGTTTGGTTTTTATTTTTGAATTTGCTCTTAAATCTTAAAGCGATGTCATATATTTAATGAATAGACGCAGCCAAGCGGGTGAGCCGTGATTATACATTTACACTTCTATAAACAATAAGGCTTATTACTGTTATGCATTTGATTTTAATGGCTTTTATCCAACTATTATTAATGTGGGTTTATCCTTTTTTGATACATTTTGGCCTTTCTATCTTCAAAATCAGAAAATTGGTCCTTCTATGACATTATTTGCGGAAAGCTTTCACTGCCCACCCACGCCAGTTTTGCAAAAATAGTTAAAATATTGAATTTTACGTGTGTTTGTGATTTATTGTTCATGAATGATAGAGGTCAAATCGGTTACAACAGGGGCCATTAATGTTGTCCTAAACATCTTTTTTTAATTCCCCTTACTCGCTCCTTAATGTTACACTGACTTCCATCATTTTTATCATCGAAGGAATCGCTGCATATAGAACTTTAGCATATTATGCCCGTTAAACATTTGATTTCTATGAGTCACTGCCAGGCCCTTTCCTGAACCACGTATTACTTGGTGCTGACACAAATTGCTGACCCCGATATAGGATGCGATCAACAGCAGGCAAATATCGGAATGAAACTGCCTATAATTTTTATTCGAACGCAGCAGGAACCTATTTTAGAAGCTCAATCCAGTAATCCTTAACTAAAAAAACAGTGGGCTAAAATTTATTATTTTGCCTTTGTATGGAAATTTAACGCAAAAATGGTACAACCCAACCAATCGAAATTTACACTTCTAGAAACGTCAGAGCACATTTACAAAATCTTGCCACAGGCTGAACTACAAGGCATTAGATCCTCACAAAAAGCACCAGAAAAATAAATGACGTAGCACAAGACGTTATCTATCAAAACACATTTCGGAAAGAGTTTTTCCTTAAACAACTCTCAGACTGCGTTCCCCCTGTCCTAGCCCCCGTGCAGAAACCTGCACGCTCTAGCAGTTGATAAGGACGGCAGATAGACAAATCACTTCGCATTTGCAAGATGGGCAAATGCATAATATAGACAATCAATCAATCAAAATGTGCTTCAAATGCATCAAAAATGGTAAAATTTGCTTCTCCGACAGCCAACCCAAAACAACGCTCCATCCTCCGGCACAAGTTTCCCCTTTTTGAAGCATATCGCCAGCCGCGCATATCCTCAACTACGCCCTCATTTGCACGAATACTTCTCTTGCATTATACTCACACCTAGATGTTGAGGTTAGCTCATATATGACATACACATCCGAGGTAATAAATACACCCGCGAAAACCCCACACACGGCACAACGATATCAACGTGGTTGAGCTCTGATGTTAACGGTTGTGTCCACATCCTCTCCGGTCTTCTTCTTCAACGCGGGTATCAGGGAAGCGCAATCTGGGCCAGGGTTAATTCCGTGGCCCCGGCGTGGTTCAAGACCATATGTTGGGGCCAACAGCAGATAAAATATTGAATAACCACCACATCGTCAATGGCACATTGTGATTTATCTCACTTTTTACTCAACGGCCACACGAAAATTAAAGCATCTGTTCTGACTATGACTACTCTCAAGTAATTCAGTGTTCAAGGTAACTTTGATAATTGGTGGCATAGCGATTACCAAGGACTGCTATTCAACCTACATGACAAATCTGCCTTTTTGTGTCCAATTTAATACAAAGAGACTAAGCAAAGTCACTGGCCCGTTTGTATTCGTGTAAATACCTTCCTACAGCATTATTTACAAATAATTTGGCTCGCGTTTTTGCGCCTTTTTTTTACATTGATGGTGTTCTTGTGCTCAATAGAGATCAAGAGTAGCATCTGGAGCAACCTGAAGTTTACCAACACTGGAATAAACACAGTTAAACCACAAAAAGTCAAAATGCGCTGTAGGGTTCCTAAATTCAAGTTCCTAGGATACGCAAATTTCCTGACCTGGAATCCTTTAAACAACTTCAACAATGGCTGCGCACAACTAATTGCAACTATTGCCCCAGGTACCTCTGATTTAGGAGGGCTCTGATCAACTGAAAGTGACGCATAGGGCAGACAAGTTCTCGTAGTACAAAGAAGACTCCGACGAACGCTACCACTCCTGTTCACCAATGCACAGACCCCCCTCTCCACCCCTCTCGTGCTGGTTCAACATTACTGCACTTCATCTTAGCCTATTTCTCAGAAAAACTTGATAGCGAAACTCCAGGTCCTGCTAAAGGTAGACCATGCGTTCCAACTTCACTTTCCGCTAGACACGATGATAATGATTTTAATTACATACGAGAGGTGTGACGACAATTATTGGTTGAATAGATTCACCTTTAAGCTGACAATTTCTCATCTTATTACACGTTTGTTGATACTTCAGTTGACACCACAGCTATTACATGCACTGACTCCGCTAATATAATCTCCCCCCATTTGTGCCCTTATATATTCTTGGCAATTTGACAAGTGGCACGCAGTGGCGTCTTGATCTTGTCATTCATCACACGCGTTTCATCGACTCTTCTCACCGCATTATGCCTTCACAAGCAATCGCTTTTAATCAAGCAGACACATAGCTCTGACTAGTCTAGTAGGCCGCCACCACCACCACCACCAAACTTGGAACAAAACCCACTAATGCACCTCAACTAACCGCCAGATACCCATTGGCTAGCTGGCCTAAAAAGCTGGACATTTCAGAAGACTCACAAACAACATAATTATCTCGTACTACATTTCACTTGTATCACCAATGGAGAAAAATCAAACAGAATGCTTCAAAATTCGTCTACTTAAGGAGATGTACACGTACCTCGTGGTGTGTAGGGCAACCTTAATATAAATCAGCATTAGCAAATGGCGCTTCATTGGTTATCTCTTAACCAATCACTTTCAGGCAAAAGACTCCAGTTGGGAGACTTGGTGGCGTTCTCTGCAACAAGTGTGGGACAGCTAAAGTCCTGCACGTGGTTCCAATGGTTCTCAGCCTCCCCGAAAACTTCCCTTGTCGAGGGGCACGACGTGTAGGGCCCAACAGTCAGGCGACAGGAGTCCTCAATGATGGGAGCGCTGGGCACAAAGATGTCCAGCCGAGTGTCGCGCGTCTGGTGAATTCGAAGCTGGCGACACGCGAGCACGAATCGACAGTCGGTGCAGTTGCGCAGAAGCACGGAACTAGCAACGGGCTGTCTGGTGTAGACAGTGCAACCGGTTAGACGATTCATCATGAGGTTGCCAGAGATAGACTCCACGTGGACAACACAACGCGTCAGATCGGACAGGCAGATGGACTGGTCACGGAGGGCGTCGGCTGGGTCACCGGGAGCCGGCAAACGAAGATCGTCCCTGTCGACTAGGTTTGAGAAAGTGAACTTCGACGGCGCCACGGCAACGACGCCAGCAACTGGCGCTTTGAGAGGGCTGACTGCTTGCTGAGGTGAGTGCTTTGGCTTCGTGGCATCAGTCGTGGTTTTGTTACCAAACTTGAACTTCTTCTTGGGGAGGACCGTTTCGCGAACTTCGTGGAACCGAGCCTTGATTTCCTGAAGGGAGAAAGACACTTCCCGGGAATCTAATGCTCAAATCTATGTCTTGTGTACTTATTTCACCGTCATTTCAATCATGGTAATAGGAAAATTTTGAACCAAACACTTCGTCGAGTCAGAAGACTGTCGTAGACACAGGTGTCCGTTTATTAGCAAACTTAAGGTCAGGCAATATTCACAAAAAGGCCGCTTAAACTCAGGAATTTCATGGAACAGCCCACTTCTGGTGTTTGGCCCTGGTTGTCAAATTAACAGCTACTTTGAGAAACTTTAGACAAAAACTGAATGGTTGCAGACTTGTGAGCAAGCATGGATAGCCTCGCCTACCTCGACGTCCAACCTGGCCTGTTCCACGTGGAATGGCTTGAGGTGTGGCGAGGACTCACTGAACCACCGCTGGAGCTCCTCTATTTGGCTGAGAAGATCGTCAAGTGTCTGTCGCGGAGAAAAAAAATGATTTTTTTGTAGACAAGCCTGCGCAACCACCACTTCGAGTTTATCGTGTGACAGGTCGATGGTAAAGGCCCGATTGATTCCACAACGTGGGGAGATCGTAACCATCTCGGCACGTCCAAACCACATATCGCCTGATTTTTAGATCAGGAGATCGTAAGGAAGAGGTCACGATGAATGAGAGCACGCCGCCTTCAACAGTAGTGTTGTAACGCAACCTTACTTAACGCTGAACGGCTTCCAAAATTGTGGCCGCAGCTGACTCGTTCTACAGCGGACAATCGTCAGACAGAAGCTGCTTCAACGATATATTCAGCGAATTCATATCGATTATTAGACGAACGGGCGCGAATCGAAGGTTTGAACATGGAAAGTACCCACCCAATCGAGACGCAGACTACACACACCAAGATGTTAAACCTACCCATTTCTAGGTACTACGCAAAGTAATCAAAGAAGTTAATAGCTCGTAATAACCCGAAAGTAGAGACAAGACAGGCAACAGCGTCAATATCTAAGGCCCCTTCCCCCTCCATTGGTGTTTATCCACCTTGAACCGGTTCAACTAAAGTGGAAGCATCTGGGATTCAAAACCTCCATGAGGGTGATAGTAGCTGGATCTGATTTCCGTACCGGTAATTACCCTAGTGTTAAACACGTTTTTAGCATGTAAATTGATGAAACGGAACAAACTAGGCTTCGCCGATGACAGGCGGTTGGATTTACGGGTCATTTTGGAATCGGGGCAAAAGTTGTGACCGCAGATGGAGACGAGTTCACATTCTTGAACCATTTTCGTAGACATCCAAATTGAATTCAACAGGTCTTTCGGAAGTCGACCTACCGCAAAGCCTAAAATCACAATTTAGAGTAGAACATCAAGGAATTAGTGGCACATGGGCCACCGGCAGCATTCCATGGCACACTTACTTCCGAAATTTCGCAATGACTACACTGAGTTCCAACAAATCTAAGCCCAGTGTACGTTCTAACACTACATTACCTACGATAGGTGCATTGAAACTTGGTGTGGAGGGAGAAGAGAGGCAAGGTAGGAATGCAGCACTAACCTTGGTGCGTTCGGAGGGAGACGGACTGTCCTCGGCAGTTGAGCACGCCTCACAGAATCGATTGATTCGTCCGAGAAGCAGGGCCTTAGCACGGGCCATGTGCTCAAGGAAGAAGGACGGGGTGTTGTGCAGGGGGGAGGTGAAGACGGGCGCCTCGTCGTCGTTCAGCGGCTCGAGGCGCAGCGGAGGCAGTTGAATGTCTACGCCGGTGCCACCCAGACCCTCGCCGACAGTGCGCCTCTCCCGACGGCTCATGTGCTCCGCGGCCTTGCGCTGCGCCTCGCGCGCCGCCAGACGCTCCAGCAGCTGAGCGGGCATCCCGCCCGCCGGCACTGACGCGCCCTCCGCCATCTGCACAGACAAAACCCCACGCCGGTAACTACAGGCCCGGGATTTGCACAAAAACGAAAACAAACACAAACCGGCCCAACCCGAGCTCGCACACGCCGAGGGCAAACGAAACCAGGCAAAAAGTAACCTTTAAAGTAGACTCAGAAGATATAAACAGTATCTTTATTACAAAAGACGGTGATAAACAGGTGGGGTAAGTTTAATCCGCTATGAGAACACGACGATCGGGCTCCTCCTCGTCCATCAGAACAGGCTCGTCTTCGAGGTCGTCGAAGTCGGCGGGCGCTGGGGCCGGCGCTGCTGTCGGTTGTTTCTTGGTGATATGAACTTGGCGCTCCGGCGAGGCGTCCGAGGGCATCGCGGGAGCTGAGGCGGCAGAGGGCGCGTCGTCGTTGTCGGCGGCGGCGGCTGGGGGGGTTATGCCGAGACGTCTCCGTCGAGCAGACGCCATGTCCGCGTACTCCGCCTCCAAGTGCCGCCTGCGTTCATCAATGAGTTCTAGGTGGAAGGAACAATCAGGTAGTAATCGGATGCATGTTCCAGAACGGGATTTCCTGCCTAAATTACTAATAACGCCTCAGAAAAGAGAGGTTACTAACAGGAAACCGTTGGTAAACGCGGAGTTTACTGGACGTGTAGGCGACCACAAGATATAAAAAATTCAAGTTTATTGATAACGGATGAGGATAGACGGCGCAATGTACCGAGTTAAAGGTGAATTTACTAGAGCAATGACACAAAAAGGGCCGATTCACCCGGAAGCATGCCCACAAGAAACGAGTTAAAGAAAATGACTACAAGGGCATTTATGGTGAAAAAAATTAATGGTGGTTTTACCCAAGATTTTCGCCTTGGAGGAGTCCTTCCGGGATTCACTTTCAGCATTGTCCACTTTTGGCCGATAAAATATGGCCGGAGAGTGGGTCGTTCGGATGAAGCCAACCATCTTCAGCCTCTCCTCTTTCCAGGCTTCAAACTAAAGCGAAATCAAGACGACCGGTAAGCGGGTGTGCACAAACAAGATGCACACAAAAAGGTCGTCGCGCAGTCGATAAGCTGGCGGTGTTTTTGAGGTCAGCATTGAATAAAGCATGATTGGGATAAATATGCTCAGTTATCAAGAGAAATCACTCATGAAAAACTATTTGTTAGCATGGACGCAGACATTAAATACACGTTTGTCTGAGTGACAAGGGTTAATGCTAAATTAGTACCATTTCACCGTATCTAAATCATTGCAGCCCCAAAAACGCGTGAAAAAGTTGCAGGTTGAAAAATAGCGGCTTTTCGAAAAATATTCACAAGGACTGATACACTTATAACTAACAACTTCTTCATTATTAGGCATGAAAAATATGAAAAGTTTGCAAGAAATGAAAAAAACTCCACAACTATAACTGTTTATTACGCGATAAAGAAAACATTACTCAAAAATGCCTAAAAATAAGTAAAACTAATGCAAAATCTATTTTGCGTCACCACGGCTAGAAGTTTCACCAAGAACTCTTTACCTCTAAGGGTGACCAATGGACACTGATAGCTTACCTCATGCATCATTCTCATCTTTTGCTGGAGCAGTCCTAATTCCACTTGCTGCTGCTTGCGTTGCCTGAAAAGATCAGCACGCTCTTGCCGAGCTGCGGCTTTTTCCTCAGCAGCCTTCGCATCGATGCGGGACTCGATCTCGCGCCTTTGTTGTTGCTTTCGATCCTCATTACCCCCGCCGGTACATTCGGCTTTGAACTGGGTCAGTGTTGCCTGTAACACGCCAAACATCCGACGACCCCTAGGCGGGAAAACGAAGAAGCAATAAGCGCTAAGACTACGCCAATTATTCTTACTTAAAGTAAATACGCACGAAAAGGGTATTTGGCTTAACAGTTACAAGACGAAGGTAACCTCAAATGATGAAATTCGTAACACACACAAGTTGAAACAGGAAACAGCATTGTTTGACAATAAGACCAACGTAAAGACACCAACTACGAAGCCGAGCAGCGCAAATAAAGTTGGGAATTCGGGGGACAACACCATGTGCAAGTGCAGATTAATGCTTATGAGAGAAACATCGAAAGTGATAGTGGTGAACGGATGGTACCTTTCCTTATCCGAAGATTTATATTCCTTAATTGCATCAGACCGAGAGCGCTTCTCACCAACACGCACCACAGAGGACGGGAGTGATACCTAGAAAAGCAAAAGAGAAAAGCGTTAGGAGGTCAAGATTTTCGATTACTCGCTAAGCCAATCTTCAATAATTAAAAGGACAGAGCCATTAATTCAAAAAGAAGACGCTGTGGAAACAAATTTAGGAAGTGAAATTACGACAATTCGAACTCTAGAGTGGCATTAGGTATCATATTTGTTTTAATAGACACACGAAAGTGCATGAGATTTGCGATAGAGTACCGCAATTTTTCATCGTCAAAACAATGCGTGTAATAAAAGTCACGGAGATAAAATAAATAAAATGTGTAATTGAAACACTAACGATTGACTTAAAACAGGACATTCAACGGCAGGCAAAATTCAGAATATAGTGGTAGCAGAAGCTTACGCTGATTATATTGAAATATGGCTTCAATCAAAGAAGCTGAAGAGAATTATGTCAACAGGGGAAAAAGAGTCAAATGAACGACTACTTATCAAACACGCTCAATACATACACATAAAATGCTTTAATTTAGGAAAAGAACGAACCTTTATTTCATCATCAGGCTTTTCAAAACGAGGAACTTTGTTTTCACGAATGATTCCAGAATTCGTATCGATTCGAGAGAAGACAGTCGGCGGTGGACCATTTGTGGCAAAGCGCCGAGTAGTCCCGCTTGGTGCATCAGCATTATTTCGTCTGCAGTAAATTTGATGAAAACAAACAGGTAATAATCAAAGTAAATAAACCATAGCGAAATACCGCCTGACATTACCTTTCGGCATCTGGGGACCTTCCTGTAATTCTTTTAATGGAGACGTCTGTTGTTTGTAATAACTCCTTCTGTAACTCAATACTTCTTTGAACTGATTCAAGCGATTCGAACGAGGCCATCATGCAAACAACACATGGAGCAAAAACCGTACGCTCACTGGCCGGTTTGAAAAAATCGCGGTTTAGTGTCTCCTACCATATCACTTTAAAGTCTCGAAATGCAAACAAAAAAATGATTGTATATGTGAAAAATCAATCAAGTTGGCATTTTGTATAATTTTCGCTTCACACATTAAAAATTATATTTTTAGGCATAATTGACAACAGAAAAATTACTGCAGGAAACTTTTACATTTGATAACTCTTTAAAAAGAAAGCGTAAGTTACTGTGCCTTGTGTCTTATCCAAAGTCTAAAATAAATAAATGCTAGTTGAGTAAATTAAGGTCACGAAAAATATCTTAAATTAAGTCTACAATGAAAGCTAGCAACATGTTTAAAACAATGTTTAACTGTCGATTGCTATTATGCACTTAGTTTTTACTTTACTAACTCGAGATTTGCTTTTTTAAGAATAGTGAGAGCTTTTGGTTAGTGACTTTGCATCTCAAGATATTACCTCACATTTGGTGATAGAAACAAAATTACAGAAATTATCATGAGGCTTTAAATGAAATGTTTTAATTTGTCTCTTGTTTAAATTTTGCTTTATTTTTTTTATAAATTTTTATTGTTTTGGTCTAGTGATTGATTGTTAATGTTTTTGAGAATCCATTGCTTTTTCAATACGAAAAACATACTTAGGAACGAATTACGAAACCAAAATTTACAGAGGCCTAATCTGGGTATCCTCAAGCATGTTTGTTTATGCAATTTTAAAGGTCATAAGCCTAAAACTTGGTATTTTGGACTGAATATGTGTTTCTGTAGATTGTAATTAGTGCTTCTGGGGATTTTGCTTCACAGTATCAAGGAACTAAGTTACATGGTGGGGATTCAGCGAGAAAATATCCGGAACAGGACTGACTGGTCCATGACGGTATACGTAAGAATGAATATACATTGCGTCCAGTCATTCAAATGACAATAACAGAGACCATTTAACAGGATGCACCTTTTCCGCTTCCTAAATTTGAGCAAAACTTGACAAAGATGCCAGGAATTTTAGCTATTGGGAACAAAATGTAAAATTACGCAGATAAAGTCATCGTATCATCAGGTAGACTTTTACAAATTGAATTTCATAAAGCATGTTAACAAATCTGATGGTATGAAAAAATTATAGAACCAGGATTACAGCTATCAATTCTATATCCACTTCAGGCACAAGGGGCACCAAACGCCAAATCTAATCCGTGCAATTCAGATGCCAATCTTAAGGCAACATTGATACGGCACAAAAGTGTTTTCGATAAAGCTGTGGATACATTTACACAGTACTTAGCAGAAAATAAATTTGCGTCTTTTCTGTTGGTAACATTGTGCTTCGTGGAGAAAAATTCATTTCGAGTTAATCAAGTTATTGCGTCTTTCTTAAAAAGCGGTAAGCGTAGATGAAAAATCACAATTATGCATGTCGACTTCGTAGCGACAAGTAATACGTGCTTTCGACAAAATATCCAGAAAAGATTAATGAAGATTACAAAGCGAGAGTGTTAAAGGCACTGGCAAATTAAGTTTACTTCTTATTTAAGCTTCACCTATTGAAATGGTCACGGAGGTATCCCGTCTTTACAAGTGTGGGTTTTCTGTTTTTCAATTTAATAGACTAATTTGCTTCAACCAAGTTCAACACTAAAGTTCATGAATTCTGGAAGCAAATCAAAACGGCATGCTGTAGGTCATGTGAAAGTCATGCATCAAATCAATACCGTTCATGGTGTCCCGCCGAAACGTTAATTAAACAAAGAGCTGGTGAGTTAAGATTGGAAGCATTATTTTACTAACTTCGCAAATTACTTTGATTTGGCCTTCAACAGCATTTGACATCTTAGCTCATTCGGTTTGCTTAATCTCTGCATCGTAGTATCCCGACGCATCGTCAAAATATAAGCTAGGCCGTGCCTGTATGCCTTGGATTTTTCTTCTCGATAACGCATACTCACATAAAATTCAACTTGCTTTTTTTAAACGGCCAATTCACTTTAGATTGATTGGTCAAATTCGAAATGCGAGTGCACAGTCGATCGTTTTACCTTTGTTTCGTGGGTAGAAGCAAATGACACTGTTGTGGGCCCCAGCATGCGGTCTTGAACCACGCCGGGGCCACGGAATTAACCCTGGCCCGATTACGCTTCCCTGATACCCGTGATGAAGAAAAAGACCGGAGAGGACGTGGACACGACCGCTTACTTCAGAGCTCAACCACGTTGGTGTCGTTGTGTCGGGTTTGCGCGTGTGTATTAATACCTCAGATTCGTGAGTCATACATACGCTAAAATCGAGACCTAGGTGTGAGGATGATCCCAGGTAAATATCCGCGCGAATGAGGGGGAGTTGAGGGTCCGCGCCGTTGGTGACATGCTGTGAAAAGGGGAACCCTGTGTCGGAGGTGGAGCGACCGGATAAAGGAGTGTATTTAAACACGAGTCACAGCAACCTGTTATTGATTCGATCGGCCTTTTAACTGCTCAGATGAGCTAGAATACAGGAAGTAGATCACAGATGGCTGGGGCAGCCATTTGCTAGATAACTCAACCTAGTTATGAACTTTTCACCGTTCAAATGGCTCACATGTCAAGGTGAATTAGAAACCCACATCTGTCTCCTTTCAAACATCAATTCCGAGTCTCATAATGATCTTAAAATGACCGATCCTTTTCAGTTAGGCTCACATCATTTAAACAAGTTATCCCCTATTCTCTCCCGTACTACCGTAATCTGATAAGCCTTTTGGATGTATTTTGGGAAAGTGTAAAAAATTGCCTGCTTCCAGGCTGCCTAGAGGCATGGTAGAAGGTGGCGGGGTGGGGAGAGATCAACACCACCTGACCGAGATCAATCGCCACAACAACCGGCAGCAGCCTTCGGGCGAGGGGTCCAACCACCCCGCCACCGCCTCCAAGGCCAATCCGGCCGGACACGAAGGCGCCCCCGACGGTGGGTGGGGGTGGGTGGTGGTGTTCGCCTCCTTCCTCGTCCACTTCCTCGTCGATGGACTGGCTTATTCGTTCGGCGTCTTCACGACAGACCTTGTGGAGCACTACGACATCTCGCGACAGAGTGTTGGATGGATCAACTCAATCCTCGTTGGAGTAACTCACATTTCCGGTAATCACGCACACCCCTTTCAATGTCATATAAGATTTTTTTGAAGCTTTGGTTTCTGTTGAATTGGTTAGACTTCCGATTTCGGAACCACAAATCTTGCTCCTTTTAGGACCCCTCGCAAGTAGACTATGCGAGGCCTATGGATTTCGCGCCACCGCGATCACTGGAGGTGTTGTAGCAGCGACCGGACTAGCCGCGGTTTTCTTTTTTTCAAGTCTTCCTTTCTTGGTTACCATGGCTTCGGTTTGTTGTGGTGCGTTATTCAAAACTACACGCGGTATTTTGAATCCGAACCGATTCCAGTGAAATTTTTAAGTCATTTGTTTGAAGGTCATGGTTGTGGACTCGCCTACTTACCCGCGATCTGCATTGTAAGCGAATACTTCACGGGGAAGCGGGCTCTGGCTGTTGGATTGGCTGTTTGTGGCTCTGGGATTGGTGAGTCATCATTTTCAACGTTCATTGGACGGCAGGTCTTACATGTCACGCTACCAATCGGAAGGTTTTACGGGCAGTAAGGCCTTGTTCGGCTCTACACGTTATGATAACTCATGATTTCTTCACAAATGATACCGTGTTGATGTCTTTACAATTCTGAATGCCTTGAAGGTGGACAATCAGGTATTTATCTAACAGTTTCTTTCGTTATTTTTGCACCAGGCACATTCGTATTTGCGCCCCTAATGAGTCACCTAATTAGGATTTACTCGTGGCGTGGAGCAATGCTGTTGGAAGCTGGCTTGGTCTTGAATTGTTGCGTGTGTGGAGCCCTTTTTCGACCGCTGAAATCACCAGGACACGAAATGGAACTGCGCTTGAGAAAGCCGCATCCTCTTTCGGCTAGCTCGTACAACCTGGAGGGCCCGCCTTCTGCTAGTCTAAATGAGGAGGGAGAAACTACGTCTTACCAGACGGCCGGTGGCAGTGCGTCGACACCCAGGCAAGTAGTCAACTATATAATTTGTACTTATTATATATAAGTAGTTATATATATTTATCACGAAAAATAAGTACAAGGGCACCGTTTGCGAGAATTTATACTAGCGATACCCTGCACACTCCTAAAACGGCAGCACTTCTGTGCTCACAGTTAGCGCAAATTGCATCCACCGCCTATTATTAATAAGTTTTAAAACAAAATCAGAAGCTCATTAACCTCCAGTAAATTGGAGTCGATGAAATGTATAGTTTGATATTTATGTAAAATCTTTCTTTTACGACCAGCCATTATTCTTTATCGTGATTTCGCCCTTAGGAAGACTTTTCAGTAGCTATCTCGTTCATTGTGTTGCCGAGGGCAGCCAAAATTATCATTTTACTAAGTGCAGGCCAAACTGTTTTGATGCAGTGAAGGTTGAAGCTGTTTTCCTATGCTACTATTTTGAATTCAGTAACACGTTTTTGTTAACTAATAAATTAACGCCACACTTGCAAAATCACAACTTGAAAAAACGTCGGGTTTAAAATAGTGATTGAGAATTTACCTGAAAGCCTCTTATCGTGAACGTTGTTCTGGGGTGCCTAAGTTTGCTAAGAGTCTTTGCCAAGCATCTTTGAACGTGGATAACCTTATTATTTCGTTCACAACACTGATGTTGACGGCCCCGCATTGTGTGACCTTGAACCACCGAATTTGGCCCAATAACATTGCAGATATAGTTAAGGGAGAGTGGATTGAGACAGGCGTGTTTGATGAGCAACAACCGCACGCCGAGATTTGAAAGCGAGTGAAACAGCCCGAGGACTGAGCTTTTTATTAGGCTTTGGGTCTCAGGGTAATCACGCCACATAAGTCGCACCGGATGATCGCCAACTGCCAGCTCTTGGAAGGTCGAAATGCGTCTAATTTCAAGGTCACCAAATTGCTCAAGGCCCCAGCATGTGGTCTGGAGCCGCACGTGACCACTGTGTTAGATCTAATCCGTCTACGTTGTTCAGAGTCAAACATTTACGAGCACAGAGGTGCGTGGGCGGGCAGTCCTGAATGGATGCCGAGCAGACTACTTTTGGTTGAGTGTGTCAGAAAACACAGCGACCGGGTTAAGGGATGTGAACTGCATTCTGTGCCAAAGAAAGCGCTTGGCTGCTCTGCTAAGGCTGTTCTAAAATCTAAAATCACTCTCACGTCCCATAACACGAGCGTTATCTCTTCCCCAAGAGAACTAAATCAACAGTACCTTATTCCTACTTCCACCTGTTCTAATTCGCCTACTTATCCCAGTTCGATTCTTAACTAGGAAGCCCGTTAGCGCCTACAACTCTGAAAAGCCGATTCGCCGTCAACTCAGCCACGATCAACCTCACGCCAAACGCCAATCCGCTTGTCGCTCCCGATTCCACGAGTCGCTCCGGAGCGTCCTGAGCTTGCACCTGCTCAAGAACCCCGCCTTCATCGTGTTCGCCGTCTCGAATTTCCTCACGAGCCTCGGATTCAACGCGCCCTTCCTGTTCGTGATGGACAGAGCCACGCTGATGGGGGTTGATGAGGCCTCCGCGGGCTTCCTAGTGGCATCGATCGGCATCGGCAACACCCTGGGGAGAGTGGTGGTCGGGGTCCTGGCAATGACGCGACATCGGAAACTTCGCCTGCACCTCTACACCGGGTCGTTGGTGCTGTGCGGGGTGATAACTGCGATGAGCTGCTGGGCACAGAGGTACCCTCTAATGGTAGCCTATGCCGTGGCCTTTGGATTCCTCTGCGGTAAGCGTGATCCACTTTATGTGCATATTTGTTTGTAGTACATCTTCATTATCACCAAAAGTACAAGTGCATTCACTGTGCATGAATGACCTTGAGTTTAATATATATCCGTGCTTGAATTTAAAGTGCACAGAATTCCAGATACCACACTTTCATTGCATACCACGTAGTGCGAACCCAGAGCATGTGAACAGACTGGAAAAGTCAGGTGATTGGTTAGTAGGAACCAATCGATTGTGTCAGTTCGCTCTGGTTTTTAAGGCTCCTACGTGACTCTCTTCCCTGTCACTTTGGTTGATCTGGTTGGAATTGAATTTTTGGAGGAGTCGCTGGGACTCAGTCTACTCGTAATGGGAGTTGCAATTTTTATCGGACCCCCAGTTGCGGGTACGTTGCAGAATCACTTTTAAAATTGCCGAAAATACTACTGAAATGGCAAGTGTGGTCATATGCAAATGTTAGTCATTTCAAACTAGAAGTGTAATCGTGGAGACTATTCTCATGGTAATTTATCAAGGATGATCTAGTTATCGGAATATAACTTAAGAAAATAAAAGCGGCAACATTGTCAGGTTTAGTGGAGGTTCAGTTATTCACTCAGAAATAAGATGATTCCACGTCGCATATTTTAGCACAGAAATAGAACTTTTCAAAATGAGCCAAGAAAAGGTGGCTTTTGTGGAAGCGTAGCAACGCTAGGTGTTAGAGCTTCGCAAAACGAATAAAACAAATGACTTTTGAAACTCTTCATAAATTTTAGGATGGATTTACGACGCTACCGAATCTTACGACGCCTCATTTGCGGCTTGTGGGGCTGCAATTTTTGTCAGTGGCGCCATGATGTACCCCCTGTCATGTGGCAAATGGAAACAGCCTGCTAGACCAATTTATTTGTAGCAAATTTAGTTTTTTTAGTTTCATTAAAGAGAAAGATTATATGTCAGAACGTGTTTTGCCCTCAGGGTTTACATGGTTTTGGAAATACTACTTTCCAGGTGTGCCAAATTCTGAAACCAAAATCACTGCTAAAAATTTATAATCTTTGAATAAAAACGATCCAAAATGAACACATAGTTTCAGAAATCTCAGGTTACATGGTCATTTGTGATTGGCGCGTGTATTTCCATGTCAAAATTTTAGGGAGGACACGAAAGGGAAAATAAAAAGGACGATTTCGCCGTAATTTCGTAAATCCGGCTTTCCCAACAAAGAGCGCTTAAGCCTGCCAAGTTAAGCTAAGGACTATAAATTTGTGAACAACCATATTTTAGCCAATGGTCAAAATGAACCGAAAAATTGAGGTGGTTCTGATATTCAGTTCAAAAATATGATTATTCAGGTTTGGTTCTGCCAGCATAATCGAAGTTGTCTTGATCCATTGATCAATAAATAATTTTTAAAACGGCTGACTAAATGTTTCATATTGCTCAAGGGAATGTTTCTTCAAATCTGTTTATCCAAATCTACTTAGAAATATAATCTGAACATTTACTGTGGCTGGTCGCATGAGGGGCTAGTTTACTAAAATAGTTTAAATCCGAACCCGAAAGACTAGAATAACTATTTTGCTTTTGACAAAAGTTATGAATAATTGATGAAAAATTAAAAGAATTTGCCACTTTAATGACAGTAAAATGAACTAAACTCATCCATTCAGTTAAATGCAACTGATATTGAGGACGAAGTCTTGCTTGATTTTACCAGTGAAATTTGAACCCGCTAATTGGTAAACAAAATACAATTAAGTTTGTTGTCTAAATTGAATGACTTCACATTATTTACAACTGTCCATAAACATAAACAGAATGTGAATTGTCCTCATATATTAACGGGACTTTTAAAGATGATTAAGTTTTAGTTTTCTGCGACATCTAAAAATATACATACGCAAAGTACTTGGCAGTCGATTTTTTCAACTAATACACAAATGAATATGTGTTTATATGAATACGCGCATACTAATGCGTATATATAGCCGCAGGTGCGCATATGTTTGTTTATAATTATTAGTCCTATAGCTGCTGATACAAATAAATGTCGGTTATCGAAAATTTTGAGGTGTCTCCGCTGCTGCAGAAGTCTAATTTCGTCAGGCCTTTTCGGATAACTTTTCAAAAGGTGTTTCTATAATATTGCATTTATTATTGTTAGAATGGGGTTAATCGTTACTGGGACGGCGTAAAATCGCATGACGGGTAAGTTTATCCTTTCAGTCTCCTTGAGATCTGTAGGGTATCCATCCTTATATTCAATAAAGATCGAAGGAGCTTTGTATTCGTAAAACAGTTTCGTCCAGGTAGTTTTGGTAACTTTACATGGCTATACTCCATCAAACACCGCTCCGGCTATATTTTTATGTCCGTTAATAACTTTTCGATATCTGTGATGTCACTAATTTCCAATCTATTCTACTTCCAGTGGTGTATTATACCTGTTTGCGAAAACTCGAGGGTGAGGATGCCACTTCAGTATCAGCCGAACCTCATACACCAATTGGAGCTGATGGTAAACCAATCTCCCTTCCTTCCTCAGCTGGTGAAACACTGGAACTCTGCGCCGGTATTGTCGATAAGGCCGGAGTCAGCTTGGAAGAAATTGCCGCAGATGAAGTCTTTGAGGAATGTGGCTACCGCGTTGAACCGTCAAGGTTGACGAAAATAACAAGCATGGCGTATGTTTCTCTTGCTCGAATCCTATCTATTTTTGTAGTCATTCGAAACTACTATTGGTTCTTCTAATGTGCACCCTTTTTTGCGTAATCTACATAGATAAGTGTAAATTTTTGTCCTTAGAGGACTGCTGATTTCAACGCAATAGCCTTTTTTATTCTCGGTTTATTGATTGCCAATCACTACTTTTTGTCGGAATACGTTATCCATCGAATTCAAATTTGGGCTGAGAGTTGCAATTTTAACTTTCTTCTCCATCTGATAAGCGAAAATCCCAGGCAAGTCTCGTGGGTTTGAACCACCCTAAGATCGCCATTAACTTAATCTGCTTAGCTTTTCAGATTCATTCGGCTTTTTTAGGATTTGCAAAGTTTGCTTTGCTTGCACACTTTCGTTTCTGGCTATTTTCCATAGTTTGGTGTCAAGTCGGTTTTTTCGCCGTCAGTTAACTCGTCATGGTTGATTTAGATCGAGTGTGGGCCTCAGCGGCACAAGTGGCACTCTATTCTACGTCGAAGTCACCGACAGTGACCTGGTTCCTTCAGCGGGTGGTGGGAACGAAGAAGAGGGCGAATCAATCGAGGTTGTTTACTGGCCCATTGAACGCTCGTCGGAATTGCTCTCAATGACAGAAACCAAGATTCCCGTTTCGGCGCAACTTCTTCTTGGTGTGCTCTGGTTCCAGCAGAATGTCAAGAACCTTTAGATCATTACCTATCTGATTATTCAATTGTTATAGATTTAGCATATTTTTGACAATATTTGCGCCAGAAATACGATTTTTTTAAACTGTGATTTGAGGTTTTGTGTTATGCATACGGAAATGAAAAGTGACTTGATCTTAGGTGATCATATCATTAAATATGTTTAAGTCTTTTTCTTCGGTATCATTTGTCGTCAGTCATGTGAACGTCACGTTAAACCACCAAAAAGCAAACTTATTTTTGACGGTTTTTTGATAATCCAACAGCCCAAAATCGTACCCTTGATGCAGCCATGGATTCTCTTAAAAATCAAGGTGACTGTTTCTCATTATGGTAATAGTATTTGTCTATGCGAGTCGATGTGTTAGTATTCAAATAGTTTTTAGTCTGCTCCAATTTACCTTTTATCCTCTGCCGAGTGGGTGTGGGCTTTTGTGTATGATAGCAGACACGTCCTTGAACAACTTTGTTGAACTTAAGGATGCACTTTAAATGATCACGCTCGTGTTGTAGGTTAATTTGACATGCAGTAGGTTAATGACTCGTGTTCTTTAGAAGTACTTAAACATTCCTTCTGGACCTCTACCGAACATCGAAGCGACAAAAGTGCATGAGTCAACGGTGTCTTTTGCACCAGAAATTAGGAATATTAATTTAATTAACTTATTGTATGGATTTCCTGAAATTCGATTGGCGAATGATAGAAAGCGTTAGAACAATTAAAAGATTACGAATTCTACCGGTCGTAAGTTAGCAAATTTAATAAAGATGATAGAAAACGATCATGAGAGATACTGGCAATTTCCAATGTCCTATTCTGTTAAAAGCCCCAGTTTTCGTAGTCCAGAATATAGGCAAATGGGTTGGCACAACTTCAATGTAAAATCGCAATCGCCTAACGATATTTACCTACTGCTAACACATAGGTAGTCCTTTTTCCATGCCCTTTCGTATTCAAATTGGCCAGTTGACTTCAGTGTGTTCTTCTTTAAAACTTAAAATTTGGCCCACTTTCACTTCATAACCGTATCCCTATCTACGTGTTTCGAGTTGATCTGCTTGCATTTTCCCCTGAAAATGGCAGGTAATGCATAAAATATTGGGTAAACGTCCAATCCTATTCGATAGAAAAACGTTTTCACAACATTTTCACAACGCACCTATTAATTCATTCAAGCGACCTATATTGTGGGAAATAAACGCTAAACAACCTTCTTTCATTTACTCACAGAAGATACATGGAGATCCTAAAGATATACATTTGATTTAAATGGCCAAGCCAAAACAAGTAACAATACAATACATTGATGTATTCTCCCATTTTACCGTACAGCTACCTAAAATAATGAGCATAATTGTAAAAAAATAATAAATGCATAGATTGCACAAATTCGCGTCACTTTTACCGTCAGTTGCCACATCCCAGTAACAAGAACTTGCCGTATGCAGGCCACTACCATTTTTCTGCATTATTACACAGGTAACTAAACCAATTAGGAAATACATTCCAAAAATAATTTACCAATATATTTGAACGGTCTATTAAGTTTGGCAAGTTGAATCAGACATTGATCAATTATTCCTGACGCCCACGAAGATATTTTTGAAGAATCAAATTCACTATTAGCTAATGCACCTGCCACGGTCTAAATAAATTTAAGCATTGGTAAATAAATGATTTAAGTTAATCACATCTTTAATAACAGCCGAAACTTCGATTGAAGAAAACGCCGCTGGTTGCTAAAAGATAAACATGCAAAATCTACTACCTCAGGCTCTTCATTCTCAGCCATGATAGGCGTTCAACAAACTCACGGTTTCACATGCGCACTTTGAATTACCACACAACATCGAATTAATTCAAACGGTACAGATGCCAACTCAATGAGACAGTAGTGTAAATATAGCCATTTCGCATAATCTCAAGAAAAAAACCTAATAAGTACGCAAACACTAAACTATATGATCCTATCTAAATTTGGATACAAATTTAGCTGTTTTGAAAGAACGTCTTGAAAATTACACGGAGTACCCAAACATAAAAAAAACATTGTGAAGCCTTTTCGAGTGCTTCATTATGTAATTTATTTGACTATCACACGCGAATAAAATTCGCATTTATGCAAAAAATGAACATCAAGAGTATTTATGTGAAAATGTGTTTTATATGATACACTAAATACCTAACGCAAAATCTGCGCTGTTTAGTGCATTCGGTAAGAGGAATTAGAGGAATGTAATCAAAAAAATCAATTGTAGGAATTTAAAATTTGGAAGCGATAAGTCTCGTTGACATGGTTTTCAGTTCCCACATCTCCCTGTGTAAAAGGTTTCTTCTTTAATATAGCAGAATATATATAAAGTAAAAAATTGCATATAGACAAATAAAACAGGATCAAAGTAAGTTAAGGTTTTAGTTATTCAAAATGCACAAGAGATGGTTATCTTAGCCAATAAGTAACCATTTTCAACAATAAATTAGGTAATGGAATTTGGTTCTGAATTGATTATTAATCGGCTGATTAAATCCAGCCAAGTAAATATTTTATAAACAGAATATAATATCATTATTTCAAATCAATTACATCGAGATTTTGTATGTTATTTTGGGGCTGTTGATATACGACGATCCTTTATGGTGAACTCAGTCAATTCATATTTTCACGAGGTCGGTTTAAATTGTACAGCAGTCATTCTAGCAGAGTTAATACTGTCATAAAAATGTTTTATCGCGTTGACGTATGGTCAGTTCCAGATTGCCGAATATCGATAATTCATGAGAGTTTTAAGATTTGGTTTCCTTAAATATAAATGTCTGAGGTGACTCATGTACATTGCTTTCATTTTTTAAAAAAATGATTACCTAGTTTTTGTGAAGTGTTGCTATAAAAATAATAATCCCAGATACTGAAACCGTATGTAAGGCCTACGTAAATTCAATTCAACTGATTTTGTCAACAATTTTCATTGTTTATATTTTTAATGTTGCAGCAACAAGATTTAATTACCTAAAACCGAAATAACCTTCATCATAAAAATTTTGGAAAAGTGTTTAAAGAATTTTCAGCTCACAAAGTTTTTTTGTTACATTAACTTAACTCTATAAGGAAATAGCACTAAACTATAGGTTATTCTCTTTATTTTCAAGAGATGACTCTAGTGCGAAATAAAATATTCGATTGTGCTTCCAGCTACTTCATAATAATCGCATTTCGTTCAAAGTGTCCGCATGTTGATTTCGCTGTTCCTCATGCTGGGATTTGCACTACGCTTCATTCTCATCCTATAAGCGAGTTAAAAAATTTGATTCAAAACATTTGGTTTTTATGTCATCGATGTTCAAACCAAAACCGTTTTATTATTCCTGACACACTTTAAAACATCTTAGTTCAATTTGACTCAATTTTGAAGCATTTAATCCACTTAAAAAGCCTTAATAGTTAAGCCAATATTTCTCAGCGAAATTCCTTTTTGCAACTACAAATAAAGCTAAACGTTTTAGTTTAAAATCAATTTACCGTATTGCAAATTTACAATTGCTCGAGGTGTCGACTTCAAATTCAGTTTCTCATTACCGTAATTTACAATAAAAATGAATCAAACTTTAAATTTTTTAAATTAATGATTAGCAACTTTGCATCCTAATGCTGTTTGCTTGCGATAAAATGCAACAGTTAGGAGAAACAGGCCCTCAGAAAGTCAGCGATGGAAATTTTTCGAACACATTTTCGTTGCTGGTTTTGTTTTCCATTAGAATCATTAATTGTAAGGTGAAACTTTTGCTGGCCCAGGCAAGTGTGTGGGACCAATCTGACGCTTAACTCGTAGGAGAAGAGATATACTTGAAGATCAAAGTTCAACTTAAATAAGCCCCTAAAACACGCTATTGTGTATCAATAACACATATTTAAAAACTGTCGAATAAACAGGCTTACATCGAAGACCAACTGAGACAATCCATTACCCTGAATTCTTATTGCGCGTATCCCAAACAATGAATATTACGACAATAAATAGACCAAACAGTAAATGGATGCAACAAATACGGTCACTTACCACTAACTAAAGCTTTGAATATTGTTCCAAATAAACCGGTGTAGTAAAACAAGGGTGTGTATGGAAACAACATGACAAATTTTAAGTCGTGGACGCTTGGAGATGCAGCAATGCTTCTGCGCGCCTGGCAAAGAAATCACATCGGCACGCCTCGCAACAATTCGCATTGTCAGCTCTGATTTGAATTGATCTTTCGTGATCCATCTGGTAAAGATCACTCAGGACACACGTAAGCTGTCCACTCTGCGACTGCAAAAGCATTTGCTTTAAGTATGTCAAAAAGGGGGTTTTTCAAGTTGGACGATACTCACGATGTCTAAGGTCGTTTCAATACACATTGACAACCATAATCGTGACAATAATGCAAACCAGTTAGACTGTTCATTCAATTTCTGCATTCACTCACTAGTTCCAATACATCACCCGACATGGGCCTTGGCAGTCGAATTCATGCATTTTTTGCGATTAATTTGCGTATTTTAAGTCTAGTTAAACTGTTCATCTGCTTTCTAGAAACATTTACCGGTCGTGGAAAGACCTTTCGTTTCCCTGGAATGAATCTGGCCTGCAAATCTTTCAAATTTAGTTTATTGTGGTTTCAAACTCGACTTTGCTCTGTCGACATCTCATTTGAATCCATCATCAATGCCACATACCTTGAAAACAGTGAAATAAAAGCAAGAACTAAGGTGGTGATCACATTGTTGAAATCAAACCAATCAACTGGCCGTCACTTAACGGCGACTCGGTAATGAATTGGCAAACAGAGTCATAAGTAGATATGGCCAGGTGTCTGAGTGCATCACCCTTAATACGGTTTGTTCTTAACTTGAGCACACATGAAAAAACACTTGAAGCCAGCACATGCAACCTTTGGACCCTGCCACGGCATATAAATACGGAACACCAGGCGTGGCGGTTAAGATCGACATGGAGTTTGCGATAGTCTTGGTCACAGCGCTTCTCTTTTCCTCCGTGGTTCAGGGGCAACGCGAACACGCCGAGGGCTGCACCTCGTTCCACTGTCGACGCAGAGCCTTCCTACTGGAGGAGCGTGAGAAGCTCAATGAAATGCAACTGGATCTCATTAAGATGGGCATGGAGATGCAGCAGCTCAATGAAGAGGAACGACTCCTGTTCGGACGCCATCCAGTTCATTCGAGAGTACAAGAACACTAGGAACTCCTGCACCCTTTGGCGGTTCTAATCAATCCGCTTTTTTGTGCTTGTATCTGTGAAGACCTGCAATTCAATTGTGAACCTGCTAATTAATAAAGAATAATTCTTAATTTGGTGCGGAATTTCTTGGTTTAAAGTGGGCCAAATGGAGTGGGTAGTAAATTTGTAAAGCAGTCAAACTCGCCTATTCTTCCCGACACCAAACTTACTACAGCAGTGAACAGTGATGGTACTTAAACATGGTCTAATTCAGTTAATTTCGGATTCAAGTCGACAAGGGACGTTGGTGGTGCTGGTCACCGAATGAAACTGCTTATGGCTACATAAAAATCGGATGCTTTGTTTAGGAACGCTTGATTACTATCCCAATACTAAGTACGACTTCTTAAAGAAATCAACATCCGCATCACCACCGTCTCTCATGTTCATATTAAGACCCGTATTTGCGGATTCAGTCCACGTTCTATCGTCTGGATTGCATTACACAGATGCCCGTAGGTAGTGGAGACAAAGGTGTATTAGTTGGTTCAAGCGATTTGTCTTGTGAGCTAAATAACTAAATAATACAATTTAGGTGACCAAGTGTGGAATAGGCGGTAGGTTGGTGTTTGAGCTGACGCATGTGGGAATTGGGGCAGTGCTGCTTAGTGTCTCAACACGCGTCCATCATCACTTATCACAGCACTCCCAATCGATAGTGCCGATCTCTGTTGATTCTTCATGTTCTGTGAAGTCAAAATATCCAGCAGAAAGCACACACTGTTCCTTCTGACGCAGTAAAAGCATCTCCTGGCAAGAGGTCTAGTGTAGGCCCATGTTTTTGGGATTACCAGTGATATAGGTTTGGCTAAATGGAGTAGATGATATATTAGTGAAGCATTCACACTCACCCTTCCCTATTCCAACCTAACTACAACAGTTAACAGTGGGGACACTTATATGTTACCTACTTCGTCATGGCAACATTTAACTTCAGATTCAAGCTGACAAGCGATGTTGTTTTAAAACCTTTGTGGTGAAGAGTGCAAGAGATTGCCTATTCTGTTGAATTTTACATCTTACTTGTGGTTACATAAAAGTCGGATACTTACTATCCCACTAAACCAAAATCTACATCTCCTTCTGAAGTCAGAATTGTCAATAAATGTTAGTCGCCAAATGAGGATTACAAGCAAGCAATATCACCCATCTCTGATGTTCTATAGAACTGCCCGGAGATGATAGCGATGACCGCGTTGTGCGTACTTAATAAGTGAATAATGCATGACCAACCATTGGTAACCAAGTAAAAGTACAAAAGACGGAATGACCAGTTGAGTGGGGATGGTTGTAGGGTGGTGTTTAAGCTGACGCACGCCACTGAATTTGGGAAAATGGGCACTGCTGCTGAGTGTGTCTCGCGATTCATAGCACTCTCAATCGATAGAGCCGGTCTTGTTCTGTCAATCCAAGATCTCCCGGGGTTTTACATGCGCTATTCCTGTTAAGACAGTAGAAGCCTCTCTTGGCAAGAGGTCAAATGTGTGTCCATATTTTGGGCAGTACTAACGATGTACCTAGACACGGCGTCCGCGTAATTGTACTTACTACTGTTCTAGCCGTTTACTAGTTGTGTTAACATAAATCTGGTAAGCTAAACAGCAGAATGCGACTAGACAAGTAAATTTAGCTAAGGCCCAAGTCAAAACAATAACACTGAACAAAATCTAAAGATATCTTAAAATGCCGCGTCATTCTCATCTCAAACTACAGCGATTCAAAAGTAATCAATGCTGACTAGATTACAACAACGTAGCGACAGTTCTGACGGTTTTCCAGTATTCCTATCTAAACACAATTCTAAGTTCTTTTGCACAGATAAATCGAAGGATAAGCTCCATAAAGGTTAGTTTTGGTAGTTGGGTTCATCAATAAGTAAGCACATTGGTTTTGACCTTGGAGTTACAGATTCTTAAATTCAAAACACCTGTCGGATCGCCTTTAGCCAAATGAACTGTGGTGAGCAGCCAACCAGCGCAATCAGCAGGCGTGAGCGAACACGATTCAATCGATTTTCGTGAATGCACTTCATTCAGGGATCGATATTTGACGAAGCCATATAAGCGCACTTGTTATTATGTACAAACACACAAGAATTAGTTACTTGACTTGGCTGACGTGACGCTAATAAACGGCCTTGTTCTCTGTCAATTCGTTGCCTTCTCTCTTCTTGGGTTGTGACCGGCTGTTAAGGGTTGTATGGTGGTGCCGCTACAGAACTGTTGTCTAGCTGCCTTCCAAACGTGCGCGCCGTGTCTCACCCCCCACAATCGAGTTTTCAAGCCCCACCCAAAAACCCGTCAAATGACAAACTTATTTTTGAGCAAACTTTATTAAATCACAGCCAGGTTTGGCGAGGGGGTGAATCTTACAACCACGTTTTCATTGGCTGTGATAGGGGAATGGGCGTCGGCCGCAATCACATCCGAAGGGTGGATGGCGTCGAAACATCTGCTTATCGATGGACTGTCTGAGGCGTTCAATCGATTGCAAAATCTCCTTCTTCATCTGAGTGAGGCTCTGTTGGTAGAGGCCTTCCTCATCGACTCTCTCCTGTTCCTCCCGTCGTCCGCTCACCTCCATGCCCTCCTCCTCGTGGCGTGGAGGCCTCCCCGTGGGCTGTTCTTCTTCGAAGAGCGAGAAGAAGGCGTGCGCCTGTGAGATTCCGAGAATGAGGACAATCGCAAGTATTGGTGCCTTCATGGTTGTTTCTCCCTTGGCTCACAACTCAACCTAAGCGTGCTTTTATACCCGGCTGAAGGCATGGATGTTTACTTAGTCAAGAGGATACCCTTGAGCGAAGGTCAGTTACGGAACAGGGTCCAAAGGTTACCAACACTTCGGTAAAACGAATTCACATGTTGTTAACAAATCGTCGTTTTTGTCGTAAACAGCGACAATGTAGTGACTTCCAAAATTAGGTAAGAAAAATGAGCAAATTTGGATCCACACTCAATTTGACTGTGTGGAATTCAAACTTCATTAATAAACAACTTGAAAATCAAGCATTATAAATTTAAAAAAATGCCAAGTTCGAAAATATATACTAAAATGATAAGGCATAAACCTACATTGAAAATCGATCTTTTGGACAAATTTCCCCTGTAAGATGCTACTAGAATCTTCCACCGTGTTTTGTGTGGAATTCCAGGGTAGGCAGCCTGTCTTAAGCGCTTAACCAGGCCTCGAAGTCTCCAAATTCATTCCATCAGCTGTGAAAACTAAGAAAAGTTCGTCGCATCGTCCAAGACCGACGGAAATCGAAAATGAAACTAGTTTTCTGATTAATGCTTCATTGATTGGTTGATAAATAGTTTCCCAATCAAAGTGAATTCAAATCCCTATCGATCGAGCATGTTCGCATTGTTCCAGAAACCAGAAAAAAAAAATTAAACTGTCATTGGCCTAACGAGTTATCAAGTTACTTAGGTATCTTAAGTGATTACCTTAGCAATGAGTTCTGTCTTCAAGCAGTTTGCGCGATCCAGAGTTTAGATATATGTGAAGGTATCTAATACCAGAACATAGTGCAGATTTGTTACTTAGGGAATGACAAATGAGCCTAAAATTTCACATCTTAAGACATGTAATGATTTGAGACAGCGTACAAGACATTTTCAAATATGGCAAATGAGACATTTCAGTAGCCGACTTCTGTCTAAGAACCATGCTGGATTTGATTTCCTGATAGATTTGATCAACTAGGGGCTGTCGATATTGCTGAGGCACTACACTGCTTATGGTGCTGATTAGTGCCGGCCGATATCGATTTAACCATCTTTTAATGCCTCTTTTATGCCCGTAACGCACAATCGGAGAATCCCCTGTCTAACACCAGCCCAGCCTTGCCTTGTACAGGATGAAGACAAGACCACGTGAAGAGAACTTGACTGGTTCCGCCAAACCCCGAGTCCCGCTTCAGTTTGAACAGCTTAGCACACGGCGAATGACCTTGACCCAGCGGATTAGCACATATACGAGTTGTCGGCGTGACAAGAACCCGTGACTATACCAAAGCATGACCCCTGAGCCGATTTGCCTAAAGCCACGGCGTAAACTGAGTAAAAGTGTGATTATAGCAGATAGCGGTTTCGATATATCACAAAGGTAATTGTCTTAGGGAATGCGCCGCTAAAAAGTGACGTAGTGATGCAAATTTGATAATATTTTTCCCCTATTACATTTAAATAACCTCTGGAAGCTACCAGCGTTCGAGCCATTTCCTTTATTTATTCAGTTTTAGGCTGAAAAAGGATATCCACGAGGTATGAATTTGTAGCAAATCAAACCGAAATACGCTGCTGTTTAACTACCCTAAAACCTCGCAAATTGACTGAAGATGAAATCACTTTTCCTCTGCAATCCCATGTTAACATTTATGCCTAAATTTAACCGCTTGCCCACGCATAATTGTCACCTTTAATCAAAAATCGATTAACAACAGTCAGTGCCAGAATATTGCGCCAATAAAAATCGTGGTAAGCCGTTAGAAAGTGGGTTATTTGCACGAACAGATACTTTAAATTGTGGGAATCGAACCAGGGCGCACTGTCTTCAAGACTCGAGTTGAATAGGTTGGGCTACGACAGTGACGATCTAAATACTGGTAGTGGTGGGTGGTGGATGCAACGTAATTACACTTATTCGGCAGTTGACAAACTCGCATTAAAACGACTTAGAATGAGTCATGAGTTTTACTGACTACAGCATAATTCTGTTCAAAACAAAAGATAAGCAATGTCCCAACCACCACGCAACCATAAAAAAGCACTACACTTAGAATAAATTAAGCGGGTTGCAAACATAGCCATTAAAACAGCACCCATTACATTCAAACGACGAGGCATTGTTTTAAATTGCCAAACACTTGACTAAATGTCCACTCAAGAGTAGTACAAACGAGATACACCAACCACCACCACCACCACCACCGCCGTGTGTTTGCTCAGCACTTGGAAGCCCAGCATTTAAAAGACCGCACACCGCTGACGAGGGTAAAGCACAAGAATGAAGTCGCTGTTCGTGGGGATCGCCTTGTTGGTGGCTGTGGCCGTGGCTCAACGAGAGAAGGGCAAGGGAAAGGAGGAGACGACTAATGAATGCTCGACCCCGGAGTGTGAACAGCATGCCATCATCCAACAGCAGAGAGGTCTTCTGCGTGAACTGGTGTATAAGCTGTTCGGAGTACTCAACCGAATGCAGAACTCCCTCTGCAACCAGCAGATGCTTCTCGTTCACAGTGAACCAAGACAACCAAGGCAGACTCGGTAATGTAATGCCACCTCGTACAACCTTTATCACAAGTACCACCTTTACCTTTTGGGATTTTGAATAAAGCAATAAAACTGTTGGATTTTTCCGCTTTCTTGTTTATCGCAGTTGCCAGCATGATCCATGCAAATAAATTGGAAGGGTATCTGGTGTTCTAAGACGGCCGGCCAGGAACGGTTACATCAACAAGATTCAAAGGAAATTAAAAAAAATTACACAGAGCAGCCATGTTTGGAAACAACCAATAACATTTGAGAAGTAGGCCATCGAAGCATCGTGATTGATCCACAAGAAGAACTTGTTTGGAATTACACAAACAACTCTGCAATTTTAGGAATCTTTTAAGCATCTTAAGACACCCAAACCCGTTTATCCGTAGTTTGAAATGCTGCTGATGCTGTCTCTGTTTTAAAATAAGCATAGTCTTGTTGATCCTTCACTTCATAACAATTCAACGACCTGAGCATATCGCCTAGTCACTAACATTGATTTATTTGTAGTACAATTGAATGTATAGCAAGGGGAAGATACATATTACAAACTAAATGGACACGTGTTTCCTCAGCGCTCATTGGTTGTTTGCGGGCATTACTTTCAATGGTTTAATTTGATACCTGCGGTTTCTGATTGGCTATTTCGTCCCGGCCGATTTTCGGACAGTCCAGAATCTCTGTCATTTACCGAAGTTGTCAGAAGTAACCACACACACACACACACACGCACACAGACAACACCAATGAGAACGCACCGTTGGAGGACGTTGCCTCGCCCGATTTAGGCCTGGGCGTTAACCTTTAACATGACGCAATCGAGATGAAAAAAGAGACCAGTTCGTTGGTGCACAGAGATTCGAGCGAGGCACGAAAATTTGAACTCTACCAAGAGACTTTGCCCGTTACTGAGAGAAAGCTCATGGCCTGCGGACACTCCATCTGCTGGTATCCTGGTTGTAGGACTGCCGACATAGCCGGCCACGAAATGGGTCTTGTTAGCACTGAGGTGAGTCGAATTAGCGAATGTCTAAAATCTTTGATTTTATCATAACCGTCAACTGTCATACCATTGTTGCGAATCAGGCCTTGTCAATGCTGAGTGCAACGCATATTTTGACGATTTGCTCTACAATATGTGGTTTATCACTGTACAATGACAGTAAATTGCTGTGCTTTGAGCCTAGAGTCGTCTAAGTTATGTACGTTACCTGATTCAGATGCACACGTTAATATATTGTTTTAATAGACGGAACAAAACTGCAATAATGGCGGTAATGGGTGATGGTTTTTTGCATTAGTGGCATTAGCGCATTAGTCGGCACTACCGGCATTTTGCGGCAAAATTAATCTGATCAAAATCAGCTGACTTGGTTCGAGGCCGCCAGCATGAAGGCGCTAAAATTGACCTCGAGTAAGCTGTGATAATTCCAGAGTAAAGCATCTAGCTGCACACATTCAACTTTTTCTAGGTCTGTGAGTTGGAGTGTCGTTCCATGTCCTGGCCCTACAACGACCTCCTCGAACTTCATCCCCCACAGAGCGCGTCCGCGATCCAATCAGAAGACAAGTGGTTTGGTATGGGAGCCAAACGGGGCAGGGAACAGTACACATCACCAGAATGCGACAATTGGATTTTCTGCAGACACGCTTCCTGTTATGAGAATCATCAAAGCCAAATGGGCTCCAAACGTGGACGTCAAGATTCCCAGAAGGAGAATGGGGATTGAGGCGTCTATGAAATAGTCGGATTGGCTTATTTGTAACCCAAGTTAATAACTGGCATCAAATATGATGTCATTTTTTTAATTACTTGAAACTGTAGCATAATTTTTCATATTATCAAGATTGTGTAACTTTTAATGCAGTTTTTTCACCAAGGCCTCTAATTGGTTTATCAAACTCGATTGGTAAAATCAACTGCTGTACCATTCCTATACAATAAATATATTAATTGATTTCGTAGAAAAAGTTTTGGAGTATTTTTGGACGAACTCTTTAAAAAAACATTAACTAATACGGTAAACGAAGACATTAGTTTTACAGGCCATTCGCATGCGCCGGGAAATCGTCAACATTAATCTTTATTGTTGGTATCCATTAAAACAACATTAACGGCCAAAACTAGCGGCACAAAAAAATCAATAGGATGGAACTAAAGGGAAAGTTTGGCCAGCATTAAACCGAAGATGGATTTTTACCGATTTTCGAAAAATCTTTTGTCCTCGTTCACTTCAGGCTCTAATCAGAGTTGAAATTCATTTCTGTGGAATAATTTTACACCCCAGAATACCCAACCCACCGCTTAAACAAGCGCTGCCGATAGTGTTGACCGTATTTCACAACAAAATAATAAATAACGAATGAATAAGAATATGAATTAATTTATTCAATACTGCCACAAATCGATAAGCAGTAAGAGGAGAGATGTCACATAGAGGTAGACCTCGGTGAACCGCACGGTGGATTGCGATCGATTATCGGGGTCTCGTGGAAGACGGCTGGTCGTCTTGATTGAGGAGGACCTGCTGGGTGTAGAGGGAGCTATGCAGGCGGTTGAGCATATTCATCAAATCGTACTGCATTTGGCGCAGAAGTGCCCTCTGTTGTTGAATGGCAGCTTGCTGCTGGCACTCGGGTGTCGTGCATTCAGCAGCCGTTCCTTCTTCCTCTTCCGTGGCCTCCTCTCGTTGAGCCACGACCACAGCCACCAACAAGGCGATTCCCACGAACAGCGACTTCATTCTTGTGTTCTGTCCTCGTCGGCGTTGTGGGGTCGTTTAAATGCTGGGCTTCCAAGTGCTGAGCAAACACACGGCGGTGGTGGTGGTGGTGGGTGTACCTTGTTTGTGGCACTCTTGAGTGGACGTTTAGTCAAGTGACACTCGAGTTCAATTGTGTTTGCTTGAACCATCAGCGCATCAGCGGTGTGCTTAATCCAAATGGTCTCAGGTGAACGCATCTCATAATTTTGAACAAGTCTACTAATTACAAATTCGGTAGATTTAGGCAACGGCCTTCAACTTGCTTTATAATTAACCACGTGAACCGCATTTCGCGGCATAAATCAGAGCTTTGTAGCGAATATTTGCCAAGTCGTCATGGCGATTGACTCAAACATTTCAAAAGACCCAATAGAAATCAACAATTATCCTCTTTGAAGGGTTAGAAAAACTGTGTTTAGTGACTTGTATTAGTCAGAAATTCACACATGTCTATTTGCAGCGGCGAATTAGCATTTCAGTGAATTGAAGCCATTTAGATGTGAATCAAATTTGAAGGAACAAACTGTTAAATGTGACTTGTTTCATAAGATTCAAGCGAACTGAAAACTGTCGAGGCTAACCCGCCACAATCAGGGTACCTCACGCGAAAAAAAATCAACTCTGACATTATTTACAAATGCCCAGTAGGGCGTGTTGACGCTCAGATGTGTGACTAGATCCCACCACCGGAAAATCAATTTTAATTAGGCCGGCCAGAAGCAAGACGCACACTGTCGTTGGTGTGAGCAAAGTTAAAGTGAGACAGTGGCTTGATCGTGTTGGCAGGTGAAAGGTAATCGAACGAGCCTGTATTTCAGTAAATGCTGACCCCCCCCAACACCTTACTTAGGAGAATTGTAGCGATCCCCGGTGCGGTTTCGGAAACCACACCAGGGCCGGCGATTTACATTGACAAGGCCCAAACAGTGTGTGTACAGGATAACGAGTGCGTTTAAATAGCTCCGCTAATTATCGACCTCTCAAATGAATGGCGTTGCGTGAAGTGCGCTCACGAAAATCGATTGAATCGTGTTCGCTCACGCCTGCTAACTGTGTTCGCCTGATGCTCGCCACAGAATCTGGATCGATCTGGGGTGTTGTTGCCAACGTCTCAGACCAATCCCAAATGCGAATGCAGGCAATGCTACTTGATCTGCGTTCCGTGGAGACTTCAATCAATGAAGAAGGTTGAGATGAGGTCAACGGTAACTCCAGTGGCGTTAGTGGCGAACGATTCTGTGTCTAGTCGCCTTGACGTCTCAAAAATGTGTCACACATCGAAACAAAATTGCCGTGTCGGTGAGCACCTCAGAATTTGGCTATCGATTTTGCAGGGCTTCATGGGCTCTTATACGGTGCCTAATACAAATTTTCCGTGAAAAAAATCTACGTTTCCTGCAAACATTTAATGAAGACAAACAACTCCCAGTGTCTATTACAAACTAGAAAGTTCCAAGATCACACAAAACCGCAGAATGAAGAGGTTTTAATTTGTGAACCGTGTTTATTCAACTCCTTAATCCGATCGATTCGCCTCCGGGGCTCCCCTTCTCGCAGCATGGCGACAGACACGCAAATCCTCAACTCCCCCCTTCATTCACACATATATGTATCTTAGATTAACCTCACGCCCAGACTCACGCATATATGACTCACCCATCCGATCGATAAATACACACATGACACAACGACACCAGTTTTGGTTGAGCTCTGAAGTAAACGATTGTGTCCCATCCTTTCCAGTCTTTTCCCTCATCTCGGGCATCAGGCAAGCCTAATCGGGCCAGGGTTAATTCCGTGGCCCCTGCGTGGTTCAAGGCCGCAACAAATTCTTTTGTACAATTTTAGGGAAGCATGTATTTAGGGAACGCAAGTGTGTACTTTGACTGGGAAGTCTTTACTAACAGGCCATCAGTTTAAGGTCACAAACTTAACAAACCCTTAATTCATTTTACTCATCATAAATCCAGAGCGGAAATTCATGTGGAATGATCATTGATGGTTTCAGGCAAGTAAACCGTACTACTTAACAATAGTAAATACACCGTGTATTTTGTGCTCGAATTTGTTAGGGCACGAAGCCATGTGAGTTAGATAAAGAATTCCATGAATCATATTTGAAAAGTTTCAGAACCCACAGACCATTTTTATCATGTCCACACCACACATGAACTCAATCACTCGTTTAACGAAGCCCACACCACGCCTGATCTCTCGTAGATAATTGACACCTTCAAGATATCAACCACTAAAACAGTTATTTGTTCAGCAAATGGTGACGAAGGACAAAAGAGCATTGGTTTTTGTTGGTAAATATCGATTTTATAAATTAAACACGACGATATCAGATCAATAAACAGTTCTCAAGTCATCAGTCAACCCTACTTCTTGTGACCATAGGACGTGACAGCCTGCGTGGTACAATAAAATCGAAGATCGCCGGAATCGAATGATGGTTTTGGTATTCAAATTTCAACATGTCAGGACCTGTCAGGCTCACTTATATTTACAGTTTTTTTAGCAAATTGTTTTAAAGTAGAAAAGTGGAGAGCAGAAAACATTATCCAGCAAATATCGTCCATCGTCATCTGTGACCTTGAGCCATTCCTTTAGGAAAGTATTTAATGGCATCGTGAAAGAAATCTGCAGGCTTTGAGGCAATGTGGTGTGGTGTGGCGACGGATTAGGACGCAGATATATTGGACCACGCTGGCGTCAGCCAATCCTGTGTCCCTCGGTGTTCCAATGGCATGCGAGAATGCTGAACAGCTAACCAGAGAAGTGGGTCCAACGGGAGTCGCCAATGTCAGGGTTAAAGTTCATTGTTGACTAGGGGTTTGCTTATATAGTTGGTCCGAGTTGCTTATGTCCGCACATTGGCTCCGGCTTGACGTCTAGAAGTAGAAAGACAAACTCGTGAGGTGATTGGCTACTCGGGTTTAGGCGCTCCATTTGAAATTTAAATGTCCCTCGCAACCTGAAATGACGTGATGCCGCCCCCACGGCGCGCCACAGGTTCTGGACCAATGGCTGGATGCCAAAATGGCGTCCCTCTGCCCCCTGAGACGTGAGAACAACGTGTGGCGGTCTAGCGTTGTCAAGCAGCAGTATAATTTGCCTGCTTCATTTTCCACTAAATGGCTTGTTCTGAACAGGTTCTTCGCATTCCGCATTCACCATATACCATCCAGGTTCCAGGAGGTTGCAAGAGAACGCTCCCTTCATGTACCACCACAGACTCAAGAGAACCTTTTTCAAGAGGATGTCCCGTCTCGGTGGCGAGGTGCTGCGTTGCCCAAAATCTACCCACGACTTGTTGCGTCTTGGAATTCGCCTAAAAAAGCCCACTTTTCATCACTTGTCACAATTTTCCACATGAAGAACATCTTTGTTGTCAGCAAGCCCGAAGTGATGCATTTGAGGCTCGAGGCGAAGAGTCTATGCATTCGAAGACACCCACCAATTGTTTGCTTCTTTTGGCCTCTGGATGTGAGGTCGTTCTAAGTTTGCCGACAAAACGGCTAACTACCAGCACGGTTCGGAGTTGACGGCCAGTTCCACCCAACGATTTCTCCTCAAAACGTCAGCAAAGTGGGCGAATTCAGCAAGGCAGCACATTTTGAGTAAAATACAGCATTGACGTTCGGACAAGTCGTCAAATTGAGCAAGTTCTCGCACCTTTGGCGTTCGCGCTTCTACGGCGTCGTCACGCCGGTCTCCTGAACTCGGCTGGTGTGAGGTTATTGTGAGTAAGACCAACCGGATCCACCAATGCCTCCCATTGGCCGAAGCCAGGCCTCAAAAAGGTACACGGTGCGATTGCACACGTCACACAAACGGGAATCATGGCCAGCAGCAGAGGCTATGACATTTGTTCCATCTGCCTATCTAGACCAAGAAATCCATTCATTTTGTCAAACTGCAGGCATTACTTTTGCGGTTCGTGTCTACAGGATTTGATTGCACTTAACGACAACTTAAGCTGCCCCAACTGCCGTGCCTCCTTTTATGAAGAAGAAATTCGTCCCGTTGTCATACCGGCGTTGTATACCAGGTACTGCATGGATATGGAATGCCCCCCACACAGTGACTGCAAAAAACTCCACGTCGACAGTTTCATCACTAAGAAACCTCAGACGACGCCTGATCCACCGCCAGTAGAGGACGCTTCAGGACCGGCGGCAGAACCGGTGAAAGAAGCTCCTGGCACGTCAGCAGCGATGGCGCAGGCAGCAGCTAGACCATCGTGGCTTGTGGAGGTAGCAGAGGGACCAGGAAGGGGGTTTGTGGTGGTAGATGCGGGACAGTCGAATTGGGTTGTGGAGGTAGCAGAGGGACCAGCGAAAGGACTTATGGAGGAAGTGCCAAGGCCGACAACACCTGAGACGTGGAAACCCCCACCGGATGCCACGTTTTGCTTCGACGTCTTCTGTCCAGGAGGAAAGGAGGCGAGGTGTGGAAAGACACACGAAGAAGACTTTAACTTTCATTAATCAGATGTAATTTTAATTAAGCAATTGTACTATTTTATACATGCCAAATGACCTTTTCTATAATTGCGAGTCACCCGACTCGCAAATACAAATAGAGCGAGATCACAAACGGGTGGGGGGGGTTGTCGAAATGCTGTTGGATCTAGCTAGTCTTGTTTTTGAGTCAACAGATTCTTACCATGCGATGAGCATCAAGTGACGACACGTAGGACAACAGGGCTGTACCTTGATACCTCCAATCCATGAACCCTTTGATAACTTGACTTGGCGCACCTGGGAGGTCGCATTCAAACCGTCCACGAACCCACTGGTCGTGAACACGCCTGGGGCACGTGATTATTGATTGATTGTAGGAACCACGCGTGTTATTGATTGTCAAGTTCGTTAAATCAACGAAACCGATCTACAAACGGCTATTCATGGAATGGATCTCACAATCAAACCGCTGAAATATCGTGTACGAACTCGTCTGCATCTTACATAAGTCTGCGCTTTGAAATGGACATCGATGTTGCCCTGATAAATCGGAACTAATTGTCACACTAGAGGTCGTACGACAGTCAGTCAGTCAATGTAAAACTCGACCGACTTTGAGAGAACCACCATAGATATCGCCTGACGGTGGACTGGATTAGAACGCGCTTTCGTTGTCTGCCAAGTACGGGAGTCTACGAAGTCGTAATTCACAAAGTGATACGCGATCGGTGTGCATGGGAGAAAAAAAACTTAGTCCACCAAATATTGTCCATCGTTTTCTACGACCTTGAGCCATCCCTCAAGGAACGTGATTAATGGCAGGCTTCGGGGCAATACAGTCATCAGCGGCCAACAAATTAAATTGTTCATCCACTAACGCGAGCTGTTGCTAAGATCGGAACACGTGGTAGTCAGATGAGGCCAATTCTGGTGAATATGTAGCGTGTTGGGGAAAGTCCCATTCCAAGTTTGAGAGAGTCTTTGGCGTTGTGAGAGCAACGTGAGTTCAAGTGTAGTCAAGCAGCAGCAGCAGCAGCTGCAGCATCACTATGACTTGCCTGCTTCCTTGCACAGTAACTGGCCTTTTCTGATCAAGTTCTTCGTTCAGTCTGTTCACCGCATACCGTCCCGTTTCCCGAATTTTGCAATAGAATGCACCCTTCATGTCCCACCACATACTGAAGAGAACCTTCTTCAAGGGGAGTCATCAGGCTCACGAAGCCACCATGCACTTCACTTTGAGCCAATAGAACGAGATCATAAAGATTAGGGGTCATCAAAGTTTGTCGGAGCTAGCTAGTCCTATTTTGGGTCAAGTAACCATGGTTAATGGTCGCTAGATCTTGTCAAAAGATAAGCACTAAGTGACGACAGCCAGAACTGTAGGATTGTGCTTGAATACTTGCAATACAAGAGCTCTTAGGCAACCTGGCTTTCAAATGTCGTCGTTTGGTCTACGACACAGCGCTCTTGAGAGGTCGCGGTGAAACAGAATGTGAACACGCATTATGCACGCATTTATCAATCCAGCTGCGCTCTCATTCTACACGACGACAATTTATTCTATTGCGTCTGAATGTCGAGCAGTAAGCTATAGAACAGACTGAAGTGCCGACATGCAACATGGTCAAAATGATGCCAAGTGTGGAAGCCTACGAAGACGTGATGCACAAAGTGATGTGAGATCAATGTGCGTGGTGGGATGGCAGAAAACAGCAAGATTCTCGCTTGAAACAAACACCGAGCACATTGCCTATGGCCACCCTTAAAACTTCTGAATGTTCTGCCAAAGCTCTTCCGAAAACAAATAAACACTTCTGCTTGAAGTTATTAAGTAGAAGGTTTATTTCGTGCAATGGCATAACCAGGTTTGGGTGTGATAAAGCATGATGCAATTTTGAATCGGGAATACCATTTTACATTTTTCAGTATTAAATTAAATAGCAACAGATCCCGTTTTCAAAGACCCACCATCAGGGAATTAGAACCCAATCGCTGGTCTACCTCGGACCCTACCCTCACCATGTCTTTGAGCAAAGACCTGTTCAAATGAGAATCAATTGCTTTAAGTGAGCCTGCCATCTTTTGTTAAAACGTGGATGATTTGTGGCCTTGACACAGAGCGTGCGACTGCCCAAAGGCGTAAAATGAGAAACAGTGTCGAATTGACGGCAAACTCGATAGAACGACCAGGATATGCTGATTTCTCCAACACAATTCAATCCCCAAATTTCTACTGAAATACGGACCAGTTCAGCAAGTGGTTTTGAGCATAAATTTGACCAAAATTTAGCTGAATTAATGGACGATGTTGCATTTGACCGTTTTACCTGGTTTCAAACAAATGTTTGGGCATTTTTTTAAAAAAGTTCATCATTTAAAAAAATGAGTGTTTATAGAGCGTTGAATTTGTGGCGTTTTAGATTATAATTCGATATTTCAGTTGATAGCGACGTTAGAGGATCAATAGATCTAACTTAACCCTCGGCCAATCGCCTCTCCTTGAATCATGAGACGTGCTAGCCCACATGATCAAATAAGTTCAAAGTTAGCCTGATGTAAATGTTCATTTGGGTATTCGGATTATAGCCAGTCTGGATCTGCCAGGTTTAATAAGTTCTCACGTAAATCTATTTTAAATTATCTCGCATACATTGAGAATTGAGGCCTAAAAACAACTAGCGAAATATTTGTAAGAACACCAACTGCAAATATTTTTCAGGTTAGCCGTGAAGTTCAGATTAATCGATCAGCTCGACGCGCGTTTCATACCCGGATGGTTAACACCGCCACGGTTATCGCCCCCACCACACGAGCCTGCGAGCCCCAGACAGTGCGAGGCATGCGTGCGTAACACAAGCGAGATGCTTTGTCAGACAAACAGACGCCTGATTGGTCAGCTGACAGGGTACTCCGACAGCGCCTATTGGCTGGAGTCCAAACTAAGAAGGCGGCGCGTACCGTGCGGATTTAACGCCACATACACACGGGAGTAAATCATGGCTGGAAATAGAACCTACGACGAGTGCTCCATCTGCTTATCTCTACCGACAGATCCGCATATCTTGCCAGCCTGCAAGCATTACTTCTGCGGAGCGTGCATCAATAACTTGCGTCCGATCGATGACGAGCTGCGGTGTCCCAACTGTCGCGCGATTTTCACGCAAGACGAAATCCACCCATACATTCCACCGGAGAAGAACGCCAAGTACTGTCTGGACCTGGAGTGCTCTCCAGACAGCGGCTGCAAGAAGCTCCACATTGACAACTTCTTCACAGACCAACCCGCCACCGAGTACGTGCCACCACCACCGCCTGAAGAAGCACCAAGGCCAGCGACCCCAGAGACGTGGAAACCGCCGCCGAAGGCCAAGTACTGCTTCGACGTCTGCTGTCCAGGCGGGCTGGAGGCGACGTGTGGAAGGAAACACGAAAGTGACTTTGGACTTGCTTGAGGCGATCCATGTGTACTAAGCAATGTCATTTGCATACCTTAATGATATCTTTTTATAGCTTTTTATTAAAATGGTGCCTGCTCGATGCTAACTAATCACATTTGTTGCTCCTATAACATGCGCCAAGTCAAGTCATCCAATCCATGAATCCTTAGATGACTTGGCGCACTTGGGAGGTCGCATTCAAACCGTCCACGAACCCTCTGGTGGTGAACACGTCTGGGGTACGTGGTCGCTGATTGTAGGAGCCACGCTTGTTATTGACTGTCGCGTTTATTAAACCAACGAAACCGATCTACAAACGGCTATTCACGAGATGCATCACGCAGACCAACAGCTGAAATACCATGTACGAACTCCTCTGCATCACACACAAGCCTGCGCTTTAAAATTACATCGATGTTGCCCTGGTAAATCGGAACTAATTGTCACACTAGAGGCCGTACGACAGTCAGTCAGTCAGTCAATGTAAAACTCGACCTACTCTAAGAAAAACCAACACCAAAATCGACACGCAGTGGACTGGGTTTGAACACGCTTTCGTTGTCTGCCAAGCGTGGGAGCCTGCGATGTCATAATGCACAAAGTGATATGCGATCAGTGTGCGTGGTGGGGTCGCAGCAAGCAGCACACTCATCGATGATTGGTTAGCTCAATTCTCGCTTGAAATAAACACCGAGCACACTGCCTGACAGCCTGCATGACAGAGCGTGCCAATAAAGTTAATTTTAGCTCGAAATACGGCACAAGTTTTCAACTCCACATAACGCGTAATCCATTTTAGATAACATAACACACATTGATACGCAAATTTAATCAAAGCATGTAGAAAAAGGGAAGGTACAGTTACACCAGTCATTCATTTAAACAAAATCCGGAGATGTCTTAGGGACAGAGGGGTGTCACTGAGGCGGCGGTGATGGCGTGAGGAAGAACAAGCCCAGAAACAGCCAGACGTGGAAAAGGAAAAGGTAGACGATGAGGAGAAGCCGAATTAGCGGTCGACGTCGTAGGTGCGCCACCAGACGGATCATGAAGGCATCCAAACTGACCACAATCGATCGCACCCACGATGGAAGAGAGGTGTCCTAGGGGAAGCGAGAAGCGACGCAATCAGCAAAGACACACAGACAGAGGGGGGCTGGGAAAGAAACAGGTGCTTACAATGAGGTGGAGACGGGCGAATCCGTGGGACATTTGGGGGAGTTGGGAGCCGCCACCGGGGAAGGTGGCGCCACTGCGTCCGTCGGTTAGCAACCGCGCGTCGCTCTCCGCCTCAAGGCGATCCAGTCGTATCTACAGAGACGTGAACCTGGCGGAAACCGCGTACCTTAAGATTGTGGTTCTGCGCCAAGGTGGCATCCAGCGCGTCCTGCTTGGTGACCAGGCTGTCGCTGAGCTGGCGGATTCGTGCCTCCATGGCGAGGATCTGTTCGGCGTCCGCGGACGACGCTGCGGCGCCGTTTCGGCTGGAAGCGACGGGGGAGGCGGAGGCACTGCCACCACCACCACCGCCGCCCTCCGCCAAAACCCTCCGCATCCGTGCTAGCTCCGCCTCAGCCGACTGCAGATCCGTCTTCACGCGTGCCACGCGCTGTTCTTCGCTACCTAGACGTCTCTGCAGGTCTAGTATTTCCGCGTCGGCCTCATTCCTCAACTAAACAACAGAGAAAATGCAAGCAGACACGGATTCAGTCCGGCAAAGTCAAAATCTAACGAACGTTTTACAGCCCTACATTTCCCAGTGGTACTGCACCCAGAAACAAGCCACGAAACTGCCAAGGTCAGAAAACTCATTTTTTCAAATGTTGGCTTAGCGTTTCCTGCGAAATATGGAACAATTCACGGACGCATCGCGGTATCCTAAGCTGCTACCAAGATCCTGCTTCCTCAAAAACATGCGTTGATGCTACAACGCAGGAAATTGGAAGTCGACGTGGACAGAGTTTCGTATTTTAGGGGGTGCGATCACTAAACCGTTTAATTGATTCCACTCAAGCGGTGGGCAGACAACGATGTCTGATCAATTTCACTACTTCCAGAGTCAGAGGTGGTCGCAGTTTCGATACCTCCTTCTCACGCTGGAGTTGTTGCTCCAGCAGGCCGATGGTTCGCCGGAGGGAAGCGTGCTCCTCGAAGGCCTGCTCCTCCATTTCCGTGGCGGCGAGGAGGCGCTTGTCTGCCTCCTGGCGCAAAGAGAGTGTTTCCTCGCGCAGATGCTGCAACTCGGCCTGTACAGCCGCCACGTCTGGTGCCGACGCGTCTTCAGTGGAAGGCGACGTCGGTGGACCACCGGAGATCTGCTGTCGTAGGTCCGAGATGACCTTAAGAGAAGGAAAAACACCTCACACTTCAGGTGGCTGCGTTCCTAGCATTCAAGAGCAGCTTCAAGGTAGAGACTACACAACGAGCAAAAGGAGAAGAAGGGGACCGAAGTTGACGTGCCTTTTCCTTGTCGGCTAGAACAGCGGCTGCCTTCTCCTTGTACGCGGTGAGAGAGCGCACAGCGCACGACACCTCCTGTTGCAGCTGCTCGATTCGCCCGGCTGAAATGTCGACCAATTTGAGCGTCTCGCTCGCCTTGCTTTCGCTTTCCGTCTACAACGCAGACAGACAGCGCTCTAGCACCCACGCCTCACGTTCCACAGCTGGAAAGGGGCAACGAATGCGACTCACCAGAGCCTGCTTCGTCTGGTCGAGAGTTGCTGTGAGCTTTTTCACCTGCGACTCCAGTTTCCTGACGGTCTGTGTGTTCGAGCCGATATCTCCACTCGCCGATCGAATGCGCTGGACTTCCTTAAGACGGTCCTGCAGCGACTGTACGTGGACACGCAGGGACTCGACCTAAGTACCATGAAACCCTCCGTAAGAAAAGACTTTGGTATTGACGTTCCTTTCCACACAAATGTACAAGACATGGTTAGATACAGACCTCGCGCATTCGAAACTGCGACTCCTGTTCTGCCCGTCTGTTGCGCTTCACGAGGTTGGCGATCTCTTGGTTCAGCGACGCGACCTCGTTGTGGAGCAGACGATTTTCGGTGACTGGATCAACACACTGCGGCTGCCCGGGTGACGCCTTCGGTGGTTGGAAAGAAGCGAGTGTGGAACGTCCGGTGGAGGTCACTGGAGTGACGGCGGACGCCTCCTTCTCCACCGGAGTAGGATCGTTGAGGAAATCAAGGAGTTCAGCGTCTGTGGCCCCGATTTCGGCTGGTTTCATTTCGCTACAAGCCAGGGTGTTGGGCATTTACAAGAGCGTCACTTTAGGACTACTCCAATTCCAGGCTGCGGCCTCCACAGCACTCATTCCAATCGAACTCAAACTGCCTTAGCTACCTCGACTACTTCCACAGCCTGTTTCAGTGACATTTGCTTGAATCCTACTTTAAGTAAGACCAGGACGCTTAAAGTGAAAATGACAGCTACACCAAACTACAGAAGCCATTAAGCAGTGGCGTCATCGTTACTGTAAGCAATGACGACGTGTAGTCATGCAGCAAATGTGTGTGTGTGTGTGTGCTGATCGCTGATTGGTGGGTTGCTGGTGCGATGGCATAAAGAGTGGAATGAAGTACTCGCAAGCACTGCAAATGGCGACTTCTAAGGGCGACTACTACACGATCTCGAAGAATGACTTTTCCGACATCTCCGAGTGCCTCATTTGCCTGGACACCTTCACGAAGCCAGTCACGTTGCCGTGCAACCACCACTACTGCAGAGGCTGCATAGACAAGCTCTTCAGCACGCCAGATCACCCCTCCACAATACGCAGATGCCCTGTGTGTAAGGAGGACTTTGCGTACGTGCAGGTGCGACCCTTTGTCTACTTCGAACAGCTCATGAGTCACTTCGAGTCCAAGCAGCCAATGGGAGTCGTGGATAAGAGAGTGAGGGGAGAAAGCAAGAAAGTGTGCCCTGATTGGATACTGGGTTGTAGGAAGAAGTGCACAGCGAAACACCCAGATCGAGTGTGCGAGGACCCCTGGTGTGATGGAGTAGCCTGCGACAACGCACACGCCATTGATTGGAATGCCTCCACATTGATTAGGAAGGAAATGAAGGAGGACAAGAAGGGGGACAGCCAACCGACAGCTGAAAAACCTTCAAACGCGGCTACAGAACCGGCTGACTTTAACCTTAGTGAAGTAATTGACACACTCTTGTCCAAATAAAAGGCTCTGGAATATAAATGTGTGGTTCGTGTTAATCTTTAGCAGATGATGCAGTAATACCTTTCTTGGCTACTTATACGAATTAAGTAGTGGTGTTAACAAACTTTGGGTGACGACTTGACAAATGAATGGCTACGTACGATGTCAACGACGGATTATTGGCGCTAGGCTTAACTACAGCCGTTGGTGGCGTAATTTTTCGCTGAGGAACTGGAGGCGGCGATAGGGTGCTGTCATTCTTTAAGAAGCTGGCAACTTGGTTGTCAAGACTGTTTAACAAGCTGCCGCCCTTTTCGGCCCAATCCGACACCCAGGACACCATTCAATCTAAAGAAAAAGCAACACAAAAACTGAACACATTTTGCCATACGATGTCCACACAACCATGCTTAAAACAGGGAAACACAGGCCCATCACCTCACTACTAAAATAAAGTAAGTAGTTACATATTTATTGCCAATGAAAAAGTGAATCAAGGAATTACAAAAGCAAAAAGAGAAAAAAAACGAGGCAGCGGGAGGTGGACGGATTAGCGTGTTCCAGTTCACAGTGAATAAGATGATGTCGGTGGATGGGATTATCACTTCATAGCCTGGTTGACCATGTATTTGGAAGCCGTGCCCAAACCGGGCTTGGGAATGAGGGAGTCCGATGATTGACTCGCAGGTTTTCTACAATATTAGCAAAAACTGAGGGAAATAAGGGTCGACAGAATATCCTGGCTACTTTAACACATTAAGTAGATAGTTAAGCGAACAATATATGGGCAGCCGTAACTTACCCCACGATCCTAGTGGCCTGCGATTGGGCTGCAGTCAGCCGTATTTTGTTATCATCAGTCTATAAAAATAGATCCGGAATAAGGCAGTCGTTAATATTACCACAACTACATTACTAAGACAGGTAGAGTGCATACTACTAAAACGATATCAGTAGGCAACAGGAGTAAAATAAACTTAAACATGATTAGCCAATGAAAGCACGCATTCACACCATACAAGAGATAACCTTGACATACCTTCGCGCCAATGACATCTAACTTCTGGTTGTGAATGGCGATCTCCTGGTTCATATCCACCGCCATCGTTTTGAGTTCACCGACGATGTTTGACACGTGGTTCAGATTTTGCTCCATTTCCGTCTCCCGATCGTCATCGAGGATGCTGTAAAACACGGACAGCGTGAACACAGGTAAAAGGTTCAGACAAATAAAACGAACTACTGATATATTTAAGTAGCCAAGATATCGGTTTACAGAAAACCTGTAGAAATGACCCACCGCTGGATGAAGGGGCCATCGGGTTTGGAAAAGTCACCGGCTGGCGCTTTCTTGCCAAATCCAAATTTACCGGGCTGCTGAACTGTCGGCTGTGGGGCCGTGTATTCGCGCGGTTTAAAGTTCTTTGAGTTGCCTGGGCGCTTGACCCTGAAAACGAATGGAATACACGCCTGTACAACCAATTCGCCACTACTACTGAAGCAGAAATGAGTAGTGGGCAACCACTCACCGTTTCCACGGTAGAACAAACAGTCCACAGCACTTCTCGAGGTCATCTAGATGCTTTTCCGTTTGTTTGATGTCCTCGTGGATGTTATCCATGTGGTCGTTGACGCGATCGAGTTGCTCTGGGGGAAGGCGATAAGGTTGGGTGCAGAGCTTATGAACCAACTCACACTTTAATGCCAGTGGCTACGATTATTTACTCAAGAAACGCTTGGCTTCATGTACTAATGCCACCCAAGTAAATGTAGGTGCAAGATGAACTACACACGCCGCTAATCCTGCCAACACATCACACGACTGTGCGATTAAGTCAATTCTGCTGGCAATACCAGTATATTCGACGCATCTAAGGTTATCTGCACACGACATGGCCCCACACTTGGGTCCAACGCAAAGAAAAGCGGGTTCGTGTGGCTAGGGGAGTCACCCAAACCGCCTCTGACACCGTAAGCCCGCTCCAAACCTGTGCTGATTTGGTGGTTTTTAGTTGTGTTCGCATTGGATACATTGGTTACAGGTGAAAGGTAACAATGGGACGAGGATTGAGGGCAAGATTTTTCCCACAACCGAGTTGCAGGGAAACTAACTAGACAACATTAGCGAGTACAGCACACGTTCGGTGTTCTCAAATTTTGCACGCAAGAAACGATGGGCGTTTGGGAAAATTAAGTCAGTGGCGTCAAATACCTAATTGTGTGAAATCGGAGTCGCTCCACACGTACTGTCTGTCGTCCGCCACAAAAGTAGTGCTGCAATTCTATAGGCCCACGGAGTAGCCAAATTTTAGTAGGACCACAACCCAACGATCAAAGGTGCATTTAAAAATCCAACTCCGTAGCGGAAGAAAACGTATGAGTTGAGCAAGAATAGCTACGACAGTTAAAGCACTGTGTGGCCCTGCGTAACTGACCTGACGCAAAAACGAACCAATTGCAATGGTTTGAATAAAAGTGGTAAATTTAACAACCCGGAACACACAATCACCACTGAAAATGCCTCATAGCAGAAGAACGCAAAAGGGGGGCGTGCTAGCACGTGACGATTTACAATTTGACAAACACAGAAGGCGCATTAACAGCAAGGAGGGATCGTGGGTGTTTGGGTGAGCCAACTGCACAAACCGAATTCATGGCAAATAGAACTTACGTCCCTGATGGTAGAGCTGTTCCATTGTCGCAGCCCCCATCTGGTGACTCTGAAATGAAAGCGAACAAAGCCGCGCTTAATTAAGCAACAGGGAGCACCGAGCATCCGATGAACACTGCGTACATTTGACCAGTTACACAGTAGCCTAAGCGTTATTTCATCGCGCTACGCATCACCAAGATAAATCACGAACCACAAGTATCACGGGAACGCACTAACGTCATCCTCACTACGATGAGAATTGAGATAGGTTGAAGTTGTTGATGCAAGATAAGCCTGAGAGAATTTAACACCGCTAAAAGAGATTATCGCCAGCTTAACACGTGACATATCACGTTCGAAATTTAACCGTGTTTCTTTACTGGATTTCGAATTATGAATTAGGAAGTATCAAAATTGCTTGACGTTGGTGTGAAAATGAAGAGCATTAGCGAGATTATTTCCCTGAAGTCGGTTCTCAGGAGTTGAATTAACACCTGGTCCCATTTACTATAACTCTGCATTGACGAATAAGGATCTTGGGCGAGGAAACCAATAAGAAAAACATCCCAAATAAACGCTTATCGACAACTGTAAGCTAAATTGAAAAAAAGTCCATCGATAGTTATGAGGCAAGAAGTTGAAAATCCACTACGATAAGAGGTCTAACACTTATAGACTGTGTGGTCTATTCAAATTGTTTGCCCATCAATGCATATTTCAAGTCACTACAAGGAGCCTATATAAATTTGTGGCAAAACTCAGGGAAGTCATTTACATCTTCAGATTTTAGGGCAAAAAAAGAGTTCCAACAAACGGATGAAATCATCTAGCAGATCTGCAAAGTAAGCAAAGTATAGAAGGTACCATGTGGAATCCAAAACCACTTAGGCTATCAAATCTGTCCAACCATGATCAACAATGAAAAAAGGCACCAAGAAATATTTTTACAGCAAAAATGAAAAGCCTGCACGCAAATTATCGCAAATATTTGGCGTCATGAGGCGGAATTTAGAGGTTTGAAACATTGTGATGAAATTAAATGGCGTCAAAAGGTCTCATTTGCTATACGAGCCCGAAAACAAAATAGCGCGAAAGCGAGGTACATGTAATAAAATCCGACGTTTGCTGCAGCAAATAGGGATTTTAAGCCTGTATGATACAACCCAGTACGCCAAAACATAAAATCGTCTACAGACTTAACAAATGATAGAAGAAATGCGATAATTTGTGATAAAGTATAAAATTCAGCACAAAGGTACAGATTAAACGAACTTGAGAAAAGTAATAAAGGCTTCGAAAGCATAAAATCCGTATCTGAGTGCTACTCACCTCTTCAGCCATGGTGACCATCCTTCTTGTGCTTTCTAAGGACTACAGATTTAATGTTTCACAAAATAAAACACTCCTACTTCATCGGTTTTCTTATTTGCCTGCATCCGAAGAAGCTCAAGTTCGGACATAGGCTGACTTTGACCATAACCATCCTGATAAGTGAGAGAACGCAAATTATTCACAATTACAATATTACCATGATGTTAATTTTGCTAGTTTAATTTCCTCAGAAACGCTTCCCAGACTTTGAACACCGAGGTTAAAATGTGTATAGCCACCAATGAAATTTGTAAAGGTCGCCATTAGCTTCAGCATTGGCAAACCAATTGCCTAATTTGAGAATACAAAACAACATGTTTAACATGCGCAAAAAAGCAAAATCAGAAATAATTAAAATTTTAAGCTATGATATTAGAATTTTTTTAGTGCGTGTTTGAGACATGCATATTTACTCACTTGCGGGTAGTTACAAGCACATTTTCGGAGTTATTGACTAAGTGAGGTATCACAATCAAACATGACAAAAACTGCGCCATATTTATGTAGTGCACGAGACATTAATTGTCAAATGCGCCTATTAATTTTTATAAACATTCATTACATCCAAGTATCTCTATTTAAAATATGTTAATAAAAACCGTGTTTTGGTATACAGTACATAAAAAAGTTGTACTGGCGCAATTCCTCTATAAACTCAATGATCAGGCTAAACTTGCCACGTCCTTACTATGGCAATAAAATGGTTGAGCTGTGTGGTATTATTCCTGATTGAGCTTTGTTAACGTTTGCCTATGGCTCCGTTGTGCTTTGAGAACTACACTGGGCCTTCACACGGTCATATAAACTATAAATATACACAGGTGCAAACACGCTACATGAATCTAGTGTGTTGTGTTTAATAAACGGCTAACACATTCACCGTCTTTACCTTCCTTTTCCTCCGTATGGTACTTTGGGTCGAAAAATCGCCTCAATAATCCCATTTTTGCAATGGAAATGCCAATCACAACCTTATGCTTTATTTAAACAACTACTTCACTCAAATTTTGGTGCTATCGTTTCTGTAATTTAAATATACTTTGGCAATGTAACTCTCGTTATTTAAAAAATTCTGCGTCAACATAATCGACAGACTTCTAATTTCTTTGACAAGGGATTAGCGCCATAAATTTACATTTCTACATATATGCCGGCTTTCGTCGCATTGATATAAGTTACCAGCATGATTGTCTGCTACTCCAAGTTTTAACACCTGATGCAATGAACCTTTTATCGTTTCAAGTCTCAGAAAGGGGTTTCAGCATTGTGTCTGAACAGAAACTAAGGTTAGCAAAGGGGCCTCTCGAATGAACAGACTAAAGCTACTAAAGAAAAATTACACATTAAAAACTTTTTACTTAAAGACGTGTAAAATACTCGTATGCAACGAAGATAGCTGTTCCGATTCCCGGACGGGTTTTAGAATAATGCTCGTACTTTCAAGATGCAACTAGTCCTGCAGGTATTTGTGACATCTGTTACTTTAGGGCATTCGAAAATCATGTGAGACACCTAGCAATGCTTCTCAACTTGAAAATTAAATACAAATTAATTTTGGCCAAATTCAAGTTGTAGAAAACCCGAGCCCTAGTATGAAGAAGACTGGTACAACAAAACAGGCTTTATTGACCAATCACAAGCCAGAACCACATGTCAGGCGCCGTCCTTCCGAGTCCACAACGCTGGCTACGCCGATCATTATATACAGCTCCTCTAATTCGCACCTTTCTTTGTTTGGCTGGATATCTTCCTCGCATGACAATGGATCGCAGAAAGACAGAGGATTGGCTGAGGCCAGCGTAGTCTAATATGTCTGCGCCCTTATGCGTCGCCAAGTCAGTATCCTCGAAAAATATAGAGGGATAAAGACCTAACTCAGCTCAAATGTTCTCACCAGTCTCAGCCAAAGAATGCTGTAAATTATTTATCTGATGCGAGTCCTCACTCACGAAATTACTACCATGCTCCATGTTTCATGAAATCAACAGATAAATTTAATATGCTGTGGATCGCGTTGATTCACACTCGCTGATTCGGTCACTCCAGCCTCCGACACGGGGTCTCCTTTTCGCGGCATGTCGCCAGCCACGCGGATCCTTAACTCCTTCCGGGGAACTCAAACAAATCATATTTTATTTTGGCAAAGTGGCTCTTACAAAGATAAAAATATGACGATTGTCTTGCTTTAGGGTAAAATTTATTTGAATTTTCAATTACGCGGATTCCAGGAGATCCCAATGCCTCCAAAACTGCATTGCACAACAACTTCATTTGCTAAGTGACAAGGACAAAAGGAGAATCTAATAAAGGCAAAATAGTTAAATACACAAGTTATAAGTAAATATGAAAACTCTGAGACAACCACCACTAGGACATAACAGACGCAACAACAAGTTGACTAAGAAGCCGACTCATTATAGTCAGTTACGATGAAAATCGGTCGGAGAGGTGTTGCCTTTTCACAATACCAAGTTTTGGCACCAGCTTGCTTGCGGTGTCTGGCAAAGCGGTATATGGTGACTTCTGAGTCCCGTGAATCATCAGGATCCACTCGGTCAACACAGCATGTCCGAGAGCTGGATCTGGACGTCGAACGGAGCGCTTCTTCTGTGGGTCCAGTCCCACGGTCAGTCGCCACGTCCCCCGGGGACTTTCAGCCCACATGTGGGTGGTCATGAAGGGCCATTTGGTGAAACCGCGTCGCGAATCGGAATCCCTCGGCCTGGCCCCTAGGATCATCGAGGTCGTGTTCATTGGAGAGGTTAGGAACATCACAAGGTCGCCTCGGCGACTTGCGCGCACGCTGATGAAGGCTTGGACGTGTTCAATGAAATTCACCTGAATTAAAATTAACCAGAAAGGTAAAACAGTGACTTGCGCCATGTAAACAGAAACTTAGTCTGCTGACGAGGGACTCGTACCTGGCTTTCAGGGTTGTCACGACAAGATTCAGTGAATAGCTCCAGCTGAATTGGCTTTCCTACCGTGACTACCTTGCGAC